TGTAGTTTGAATATTGTTTATTTGTGTTTGAATCTTTTTTATTTCTTCTTCAATCTCTTTTCTAATTGTATTTCGTGTTTTTTGAATCATTTCATTTGAAATGGTTCGTTCTTATTCATTCTTTTTTGTTTGAAGTTCTTTAATAGTTTCTTCTAATTCTTTGATTTTATTTTGAAGTGTGTTAATTTCTTATTTGTTGCCTTCTTCTTCCTTTTTCTCTTCTTTATCTTGTGTTTTCCTTTTATTTTCTTTTTCATTTATTATTCTTGCAGATTTACATCTATCATTTATTTCTTTGTTTCGATTTTTGTTTTTGATTTCTTCTTCGATTGTTTTAATATCTTCACTTTTCCAATCTTTTGTTTTATCTTTGAATTCTTCTTTGTTTTTCTTTATTGTTTTCTTCTTTCCTATTGAATATACTTCTTGGAGAATATTATACATTTTCTTTACCTTCATACTTTTTAAGTAATTCTGAATATTCTCCTTTCTCCCATTTTCTTGTTATTCTTTTAATTTTCTTTTGAATTTCATTTGTTGTTAATAATGTAGATTTCTTATTTGTATAATGTTTATATCATTATATTTACTTTGTTTCTTATTTGTTTTTATTTGTATTCTTCTTTTTCTAATCCCTTTTTTCTTGTTATTTCTTTTATCATAATTATTATGCATTTCATTGCTATTGAAGTCCTTTCTTTTCTTTGACATGACTACCTGTTTATTGTTTATTTTTCATTACAAAATTCAATGATAATACTCAATAGCTATGACAACAAAATGTGATGTATATTCTGAAATGGTAAAAGGGTCTCAAAACTAAAAAAAAGAATATAAAATAAAATCAATAAATGAATATGAACATTTCAGTTAGCTATGAATCATAAATTTTAATGTCATGAATCAATTACATGTGAAAGAGAAAAAGAAATTAATTAGAATTACAAGAAAAGTACTATATTATATTAATATTGATAAAGAATTTGAATAATAACAATTATAATGAATTAATATAATATATTATAAACAAGAAATGGTGTAATAAATAAAAAAGAAATTAAATATGATTTTCTTATGATTAGTATTTCGTCATATTAAGAAGTAAGTAAATCACTTTCTTCAACTTATTTTATTTCTATTGAAATAATGTTTTTTTTTCAGTCAGTCTCAAATTAAATGTTTCATTTAATTTGTTATTTGTATTTTTATTTTGAATTAACTGAGTGTTAAAATCTTCGTTGTTTCTAATATTATTTTATATTGAGCATATCTATAATACTATGATTATGGCTCATTTCTTTTAATATCAACTCCAATTACAGAATCTTTCTTGATAACCCTCCATGTATTCAGTACAAATCTATCATTAAAATATACTTGCATGTTGATAAATAATAATACTACTATCATAATAAATAACACTCCTTATTAATCACTCATAATAAGTATTAATAAATAACAACCAATATATTGATGAGGTACTGTTTTACTAAAAAGTAAACCAAAACCATACTATGGTAGTGTTTCAAAGCTTCGATTTGTTTTAGTGTTTCATGTGGTGTCACTAACTTACCATCTTCGAATCATAAAATATAATAAAAATAAAGAAGAAATGTTTGACAATTGAAAATAAGGAATAAAATAGAAAGAAGACGATAAATGGAGAATGTGATAAATAAAGTAAATGATAATAATTAACTGAAAATATAAATAAAATTGAATTGAAATTTAATAATATAAATAAAATAGTAAATATAAATAAATGAATAAATAAAATAACAAATCAAATTTAATGAATAATAAAATTAAAATCAATAAATAAAGAATAAAATAAGATAATAAAATAAAGAATAATTAATAACAATTCTTCACTCATATAAATAAATTATTTATAAATGAAATTGATATTACAAATTAAATATAATAAATATATAAATTAATAAAATAAGAGAATATAAAGAAGAATATAATAATAAAATAAGATATAATCATTCTTATTCTTATTTTATATTAGATGTTATTTTATTATTTTAAATTTGTTTATATTGTTTGTTTATATTTTATTATTATTTATTGATGTTTATCTTATATCATTTATTTATTATATGTTGTATTGATATTTAAGAATGTTAATATGAAATGAATAATAATGAATAAATATAAAATAAGAATAAAAAGATATAAGAATATAACATAAATAATAAAATAAGAAATATATAATAGATATAAAGATAAAAGAAGAAGAATAAAATAAATAAATATAAAATAATATAAATAAAATAAAAAATAAATAAAAAAGAATAAAATAAATATTTTATTATATTTTTATTTATCTTTTATTCTTATTTCTTTTTATTATTTATTAAATTAACACAATGAATATGAATATTTGAAATAAAATAAAACAAGAAAGAAATATGTCCATTTCTATATTCACTATTTCATTTATTGATAGACGAAATGTTCATATTCATTTATTGATTTTATTTTATATTCTTTTTTTATTTTTATATTTCAAATAAATAATAATGAATAAAAATCATTTCATTTCAATTACAATAATTCGTTCTGGTGTGAAATAGTGTTTTCCACAAAATGGATTTGATATTCTTTATATTCATATGAATATTGTTTACACCATGATTTTGTTTTATTATTTTCTTTCCAAACACGAATATCACCATATCCAAATGTAAACAAATAATCATTTGATTGATTACATAAACAAAATGCATGTTGTGGTTCTTTAATATCAAATTTCATCATTTCTTCTATTCTTCTTTTTGATTTTTATGAAAATAAAAATGGTTTTGTATCATTTATCCAGTTCCAATTATTAACTTTATCAATTCACATTAACATTCGTCCAAATTTATTTCCATCTTCATCTTCAATAATAATTATTATATGTTCTTTATTTATTATTCTTTGAATAAATACTGGTGTATGTCTATTCCAATTATCAATATCTGAATCAAATAGTATATTGGATACTTTTCTATTTGTCCATTCTTCTAGTTGTTTCATTTCTCCAATTGTCTTATCAATTGATATGATATTTGGTGTTAATGTTGTTATTCCCCATTATTATTTATTTTTAAGTTTTTATTTTTAATAACATTATTATTTTATTGTTATATATCACATTTATTATTTTTGTTATTTGTTGAATCTTATATTTATTATTAAGTTCATTATTATTCTAAATTATTCTTTTTCTTTTTAATAACTTTTAATTTTATGTTATTATGAAAATATCATTTATTTCTTCTTTTTGTTATTCTTTTTTTATGTCTTTTATTCATTTTCATTCTCATCAACATAATTTTATATTCTTTCTTTTATTTTTTACTAATTTCAATATATATTTGAATTTGCACCTCAGAAACACGACAAAAACATTAAAATAAATCAATGAATTAAATCAGTAGTTATCTTTGGATTATGATGCTGCTATTAGTTAGAAAAGATCTTACTCAATACTTCAAAAATCAGAGTGATTATTATTTCTGATGATGGGACATCATTTATTACATAGAAGAATATTTATAATGATGGTGGTGTTGTTTACTTGTTATTGTGCATGTGTATTTGATAGTAAATGTATTGAATTGAATACAATGATATTACCAATGAAAATTGATCTACTCGTTAACGCTAAATGAAATTGGACATAATAATATAGTGGTAATGATATAGTCAACATAAAATAAGAAAGTAAAGAACGAAGAACGTTAATGCACATTAAATTAAATAAAGATGAGATAATTAATTAAATGATGAATAGTTAAATGAAGAAGTTTGAAAAGACATTAACTCAGTCCAAATAAAAACGTGAAGAATAGAAATTCACATTTCTCAACAAGATGAAAACATAGACAGTAGGGGGTTGATGAGTACTCATTCTTAAAACGCAATGAGGTGATTATTCTATGGTGAATAAAGAACAAAGTAAAATAAAACCAATAACACTTAACCATCTACTTTTTTATTTTAATTTATAAAAAATATTAAAAATTATTTCTGAAAAAAAAAAAACACAATTTAAATAACAAAAAGGAGTTAGAGTACGAAAACAATAGCACCATAACCAACAACCCAACCACTGTTCATTCTCTTTGTTACTGTTTCACTATCTGTTAAATCAAGTGTGATAGCTTTAGCACATCCAATGGATTGAGCGTACATCATTGTTGGTATAATAGCAGTGATTCCACAATAAATTTGATTTTCATAGCTCCATCTTGTTAATAAACCCTTTATATCCATTTTTTCTGTCAGTAATATTGTTTCTTTATCTGTTTTTTCAACTAGATTATGACTTTCATCATGGAGCATATCACTGCTAGCGATGACATACATCTTTTTCTTAGAAGCAACAGCTTGAAGACCTTGAGCAACTTGTTCAAATACTTCAGATTTATGAGTACCAATTAATACCATCACAACTTTAACTCCAGGTAATGCTCGTTGAACGAATGGTAATTCATTTTCAGCAGAGTGTTCACCATTATGTGGTTTATAGAAACATTTTAAGTAATTTCTTCCTTCACAAAATATTGTAATTGCTTCATTATCAATTTCTGTTGTGGCAATTGGAGTTGAAATTGCTTTTCCATCCATTATGGCAGCGTAATCAAATCTAGATGAATGACTAAACCCAAGAATAAAAACAACATCTGGTTTTCCATTAATTTCAGAATCTCTCTTTAAAGCAGCAAAATCGTAACCAGCAGTTGGACCACTATATCTGAAACCAGCGTGAGGTGAAATACATCCTAATATTTTACCTTGAATTGGTGGAAGTTTATTAAGAGCATTGTTAATGTAATGATCAATTTCATTTGCCAGTTCATTTCCATTAGCATTAAACCATCTACCAGCTCCAACTGCTTTTCTTACAGTTATAGAATCCATTTTTATGATTATGAGTTGATGACTTTTTGACACGTTGAGAAGAAATCTTTTTGAAATAATTTTAAAAAACCATAAAAAATGAATTAATCTTCTGACATTCTATTAGTTCGTCTTTCCCCTCGTTCTCTAAGACTGCTTGTTACTTTTGATTGATAAGGAGTTTGACCTTGTTGTCGAGGAGTAGTATTAATATTATAAACAAATATTTTTCCATCTTCACCAGTTGAATATACAATATCGTTAATAACTTCATAATCTCTAACCAATGCAGAGTGGTAATGGGCTTCAGACCTTGATAGAAAACTATTTGTTCCTAGCCAAGTTGATAGCACTAATTTACCTGAGTCAAATGAAGTTGCAGTTCCTATTTTATTATCAATCACACAACCTTTAAGAATAGTTGAAGGAGTTTCATCTCCAATTGATGTGATTGTTCTCAAATCATCTATTTGACATTCTAGTGTTGATGTTTCTCCATTGTAGATAACAAAAGCATTATCGTCAGAGACAATAGTAAGATACTTATTTGAAGCAACACCCAACAACCCAAGAGGTTTACCAACATTTATTGTTTCAAGAATTCCATTATTTCCTTGAGTATAATCAATTACACAACATAAATTGTCTTGAGAAGCAGATACTAATAATCCTCTCCAAAATGCAACATCAACAATATCATCACAATGAGCTTCATTTATAGTACAAACAACTTTCATATTTCTAATATCAAAACATTTAATATGTGTTTTAAAAGATACAGCAAGTCCAATATCAAAAGATGCTATTGCTGTTTCTGTGAGATGATTTGATGGTTTTGTTAATATGTTTGGTTTGTCTTGACGACAATCAACACTACAAATAACACCAGTATCACTTATTGTAAAAGCAACATTTGGGTCATTTGAATTACAACTTCTTTGACCATTTACTTGATAATTTTTTTGTTGTTTTAAATCTGATGAATACCAACTCAAACTTCCATCACTCCATAGTACATTTACTCCAAGTGGATTACAGTTAAGTTCCAATCCATATCCATCATGCTGAGAATACAAATAATTCATTTAAATAACAAATTCAGTTGAAAAAGGGTTTTAAAAAAAAAAAAACATAAGAATGTTATTTAAAACAATAAATTAAAAGATTAAAAATCCTAAAAGCAATGATGATAATGGAATAAACACATTATCATAATTTGGATATGAATAAAACTCAACTATTGCCCCAATTAATCCTGAAATAATACATTGGAAGAAATAGAATTGTCCAAAAATAAGATAGCACATTAACGTTGCACCAACTGCACCACAAACCATAACAGCAAATGCACCTTCAATAGTTTTATTTTTTCCCCATGGATTTTTAAGTTGAGTTTTTCCAATCATTTTACCAATGATTTCAGCCATTCCGTCACCAGTCAACATAATCATCATTCCAATAATAGATGGTGGATAATTTCTCCAATAAATCAGAGATAAAAATGACATAATACAACAATAATTTAATGGCCCATATAACATTTCTTTATAATCACCATTTCTACAAACTGTTGCAACTAAGAAATCAGCAACTGGTCCTTTAATCCATCCCATTCCAAATATTAAAAAGACAAATAAATAAAGAATACAACACATAGACCCCCAAATTCTAGCCATCGGTTCATCAGAATAATATCCCCACATCAATATTTCACATACTCCAAGAGAGATATGAACTATTTTTCTTGAGGTATAGCTGGTAATGATATTTGTCTTACTCAAAGCAGTAGCAATCATAAGGCAAACATTGACTAACAGAAATGATGTTAAAAAGCAAATGACGTCTGACATTTCAGTAAGTTTTTTGATTAATTCATAATAAGATCAGTTTAAATACTTTTCATTTTACTAGATTGTTCTTTTTTATTATATTTATATTATTTTTATTTACTTTTGAGTATTTCTAGAAAACCATTTTAATAAAATGAAAACCATTATTGTAATAAAGATTCAATTTTTTTTTTATTTCTTTTTTTTAGAAATTTTCTTTTTAGTTACTTTCTTTTTCTTTTCATACTGTGTGTAATCATCAGCGTAATAAACAATTTGTTCTTCTGGAATTTTCCAGTTCATCAGATTATACCAGTACTCTCCGAGATATAAAAAAAGGGTGTCATTGTCAACTTTTTTAGTTAAAAATTTGTCCATTCCTTTTGTTTGACGAGATTCATTTTTAACAATACCTTTAAGATAGTTGTCAATTAAATTTTTTTTTTCTATGAGGACTTCTTTAATGAGAGGAAAGTCAATTTTATAATGACTATTTTCTTCTTTAACAAATTGAGTTAAGGTATCTTTAAGTAATTCGGTAATGACATTAGAAGGTAATAAAGTATCTACTTATTATTATTTTGTGTTATAAATTTAGTAAATTAAACAAACAAATATCGTCAAGAGATGAAAATTTTGTAGTTTCATTAACATTATGTAAACAAAGGAAATGAAGAACTATATAAAAAGGATCCATTATAGAACTTATTTTAAAAGAACTATCAGAAAGAAGTATTGGGTTAATATACCAACAGCCATATTCCAAATGAACTTGTTTTATTTCATAGAGTAGATGCTTTGATGTTTCAAATAAAATGACTTTAGAATACCCCAAATTACACCAATTTTTAATTTCAAGAACTATGACTTGGTTCATAGGTTCTCGTGAGATGATAACCCGTTTTTTTTTTAATACATTATTTGGTTGAGACGTTTCAATTTCAATGTCACCAAAATTGTCTAATACTTCTTCACATTCACTGACGGTTGAATTGCTTTGGGTCTGTTCTGCCATTATCTGTAAAGTAAATTCAGTTACTAATGAAGTGGGATAACCCTGAGAAAAAATGAAATTACAATATAATTGAACTCAACTAAAATAATTGAGAAATTATAATAAAATGATTCTTAACTGATTTAAAATAAATAAAAATAAAGATAAATGGTTCAATACTCACTAATAACATTTTTTCATACTTTAAAAAAAATGAAAAATGAAAAACTTCAATAAAAAAAAACAAAAAAAAAACAATGAACTTAAATAGTAAAAGAGATGGAATTCACACATAATGCATATCAACCTATTTCACTTGGAACGACAATCATTGGAGTTGTTTATAATGGTGGTGTTCTTCTTGGAGCTGATGGTAGAACTTCAATGGGAAGTATAGTAGTTAATCGATGTAAAAATAAAATTCGTATGGTTTCTGATTCTATTGGAATGTGTATGGCTGGAACTTCAGCTCATAGTGAAACGATTGCAGATTATGTTAGACATTCATTAAGAATGTATACTGCTCAAACTAGAGAAGAACCAACTGTACTTGCTGCTGCTACGTCAACAAGAAATATTATTTATGGAAATAAATCATTCCTTTCATCATCAGTTATATGTGGTGGATATGACTCAGTTAATGGAGCAACATTATATCGTATACTTCAAAGTGGAGCTATGAAACAAGATGATATATGTGTTGGAGGAAGTGGTTCAACATATATTTGGGGATATTGTGATGCTCATTTTAAAAAGGATATGACTTTTGAAGAAGCCAAACAATTTATTATTACAGCTGTTTCATTAGCAATTTATCGTGATGGTTCATCTGGAGGAATTATCCATACCGTAAATATAACATCAGAAGGTGTTCAATCTGAATTTATTACTGGAGATAAAGTCCCTGTGCCACAAAATTAAATTACAACTTTTTGAAACAAATAACAAATTTTTTATAAGTTTTGTTTTTATAGTTTAGAGAAATAAAAAAATAAAGTTAATTATAACTTTTAGTAAAAAGAGAAAAAAATATGTCTTAATGATTAAAAGATTCTTCTTTTAATAGAATGTCTTCAATTCAAATGGATACCTCAGATAATGAAGTCCGTATTCTTTCAAAAGAAAGACTACAGTCTATTCTTACAAAAGTTCAAGCACTTGATCATTATAAACATTACATAAACGAACTAATTAGTAATTTTGAAAAAAATAATGAAAATTTTGACGAGGTATATAAAGCGGTTGTTCCTCAATTACTTAAACTTAAATTAAAAACAAAATCAGTATTAAAAGCAATTGACTTTCTTATTGATGTTGCAGTTAAAGCAGAAAATAATTTAACTGAATATATTCTTGATATTCATTCAGATCTTACATATTCATCTGAACCATTAATTCGTCAACGAAGTGTATATATTATAATGAGAATATTAAATTCAATGCCAGATAATTATACTCTCACTGAAGATATCTATAAAAAAATAAATAAATCTCTCATTGAACGTTTACAAGACACACAATCAAATGTTCGTACTTATGCTATTCTTGCTTTAAAACGTTTTGAAACGTCTCAATTAGTAAATTGTTTATCAGATCCAAGAGCACAAGTTGTTGTTGCAACTTTACAATCAATAGCAATTAATTCAGAAACAATTATTCCAATCATTCGATTAGTTGGAGATAGTAGATCTATTGTTCGTGAATACACATATCAAACAATTAAAAATATTCCAATAGAATATATTACACATACTTCATTTTGTTATATTTTTATTCATGCATTAACTGAAGAAAAATCAACTGTTAAAAAACAATTTGAAGAATTAGTTAAATATTGGATTGAAACAATTGGACTTGAAGAGTATTTTGAAAAATATTTCCCATTAGATAAAATCCCTCAACTCCCACCACAAGAAGGAGAATCAGGAACAGATATGGAAAGATATATTTTATTAAGTAAAAAAATTGTTGAAGAAGTTATTAGAATTACTCAATCACCAGCAGGTGTTACACTTGATGTTTCACCAACAATTGTTATTCTTCGATGTTATGTGTTAATATCTCATTGTGAAGGAGATTATCCAGATGGACAAGAAGTATTAAATTGTATTAATGGGAAATCAGAATTAGAACAAATTGCATTAATGAAGTTATATTCAAAATGTAATGGAGGAAAATGTAATATTTTAGAAATCGTTAGAGGACATTCACAAATTGTGGTTGATGAAGCATTTAGAGTATTAGTAAAGATGGAACCAAATGATCATTTTGGTATTATTGTTAATGAAATGCATAATATTACTGAAGATGATCAACCGTTATTTTTAAAAGGATATTATAAAGCATGTATTGAAGTTAACTACATCCTTCCATCAGAATTCTTGGAATATCATTTAAGACAAACATTTAAAAATTTACAATCACCTGATGAAGAGAAAAGAGTGTTTACAATGGAATTTGTTGGTCTTACAGTTCTTGTTAATAAAGAAAAAGCACAACAATTTCTTCCTGTACTAATTGCTGGACTGTCAAAAGATACAACATCAGTAAGATTAGTTGCTTTAAAAGGATTAACTGATTATTATTTATTAAGTGGAATAAATGTTCCTGAAACATTAAGAGATATTTATAACGATGCATTATTAAGTTTAAGTGAAGATTTAGAAGCATTAATTATTGTATTACAAGGAGTTATACGATTATATTTAAATGATAGACTACATATTTCAGAAGAATCAAGTGAGTTATGCCTTGCAAAAACAATGATGTCATTATTTATTCGATCAATTCCAGAAACACAATTACGATCATTATTATTTACATTTTTCTTATGTTATTCACAATCTCATTTTGAAGATTCTAAAAAATTATACGAATTATGTTTAGATGAAGCAGGACCAGAATTAGAAAAAATTACTGAAGTATTTATTCCAATGCTATCACAATATGATAAAGAAATAAATACAACAATTATGGAAATGTGCATGCATAGATTAATGAGTTGGATTAAAGTTGAAGATAATTATTCTGATGAAATGATTATTAATTTAACAAATGTCTTCTATAAATTAGATTATACAAATAATACAACTGATATTAGAGATATCTCTATTCAACGACTTAAATCTATTCAATCAGAACGTAATAGTAATGAAATTAATTTAGCAATTAAGTCATTAATAGAGGCATTTGAAGAATTGAATAATTAAATTTAATTTAGTATTTTTTGAGTATTTTTTGATGAAAAAGAAAAAAAAAAGGAAATGAAGAATGAAATTAAAAACAAAAAAATTGAAGAAGAACTAAGAAATACAATGTCTGATTTTGATTATATCCAAAAGAATACTCCTCCTGAACTTCCTGAAAAATTTAAAGCTGCACTTCTTCCAGAAAATATTAAAAAGAATAGATATACTGATGTTTTAGCAAATGACGACACAAGAGTAAAATTAAATAATAATGGTTATATAAATGCTAATTATATTTTTCAAGGAAGAATGATTGCATCTCAAGCACCAACCATTGAAACTATCCCTGATTTCCTTCAAATGATTATTGAACAACAAGTACCAATTGTAGTAATGTTAACAAAATGTAAAGAAAAAACAAGAACTAAAGCTACACCTTATTGGGGATATAAATCTGAAGGTGGTAAAAAAGTTTTTGGAAAATACACAGTAAATACAATTGATACTCTTTATGATGATATTGAAGAAGATAAGTTTATGGAAGATATTCAAATTAGATATCTTCAAATTATATATGAAGATGGTGTTTATTCATTTATTCAAATCCATTATATGGGATGGCCTGATTTTGGAGTTCCATCAAATCCAAAAGATGCACTAGACCTTGTTTATATTCAATATATTATTGGTACTACATCAAAATTTTCTAATAGAAATCTTATTTGTGTTCATTGTTCTGCAGGTGTTGGTAGAACTGGAGTGTATTGTCTTTTATCACGTATTATAGAAATGGTCACTTATGAAATTCTGGAAAAATCAGAAACTTATAGTAAACAAAGGTGTTTGTTATTTTATTTTAATAACTTAAGAATAAATTAATTATTCTTTTAATATTTATATTATAGCAACAAGTTCTTCTTCAAAAGTAAGAGAAGTTGAAGATCGTATTGAAGAAATTTTATTAAGTCATCCTGTGATTTCTTATGAAGACTGTGAAGTAATTCTTCCAGAACTTGTTTTATCTATGAGAAATGAAAGAAGTAAAATGGTTCAAACAAAAGAACAATATGATTTTATATGTGAAACCGTTAATTGTTTTTATGAAGATGCCTTAGATTCTATTAGTCAATATTATGAAGTTATTGATGCACTTACACCACTTCTTCAAGAAAAACATTCAGAAATAGTTCAAGACTTTATTAAACGTAACGAGTTTTAATTTCCTTTCTTTTTTCATCTTTTAGTTAAATAACAATTTTTTTTTTAATTTATTTTTAAAAAATAAAAAGTAAAATTTCAATCATTTTTTTAATTTCCATTGAAGAGCAATTACTTTTGAGATATCAGATGTTTGTGGATAATGACTTCCAACAAAAATATCTTCAGTAATCCCATTTGGAACATTATAATATTGAACAAAACTATTAGATATATAACATCCATCAACTTGTTTTATACCAAAACATGCATTAGTTGCAATAACCCATTTTTTTGAAGTACTTGGTGAAATATTTAGTCCATCAGCTGTTTTATCTTTTAGATAAAATTGCATTGGATTTGTTTTTTTAGGATTTGAAAGAGTAAATACAAAGAAATTTGGATCATTTTTAACCCATTCTTCAGTTTTTTTTGGTACTGGTAGTTTTAATGAATTAAAACTGCCAAATACGTATCCATGTTTTGTAACAATAATAACCATAATATTTTCTTTTCCACAAATACATAAATTTAGTGCTGTACTTGAGAGTCCATCTACCTCACTATCATATATAAGTCCATAATCATTTAACTTTGTCCAATTTACAAATAATTCTTTATTTAACTCTATTAATGTTGATATATTAATAATATTTTTTGGTTTTTTCTTTTTTTTATCATTAATAGGATTTATTTTACGTTTAACACCACCACCACTTTCTGTAATAATTTCTGTTTGTGAAGGTGTGTTCTGTTTTTCATTTGGAAATTGAGTTGGTAAAGTTGGTAAAGGAGGAACACAAATGTTTATTGTTCCATAATTTAATATTGATAACCCAGATATTTTATGAAGAAATGAATCAACAGAAGGAGCTTGGTTTTTATCACTCATTATTAATGTTCTGAGATCTTTTTTTCTATCAACAAATATCTTTTTCCATAGAAATAGAACCTGAAAAAAAATTTTATTAAATTTTAAAAAGATAAAAAATATTATTTTCTTCTTGAATTTTTTATTAAAGAGATGGATTCATTTTAACCCAATCAAAATTATAAACACGAGGAGTTCCCCAATGTTGGATTGATGGAAATAATTCCCAGTTAAATGGTGGAAGTCCTCCTTCATGTGTTGGTCCACAATATGCTAATGTTTTATATTTTAATGAAGCAGCTCCTATTTTACAATCTACAGCTCCAAATGGGAATTTATAATCACTATCTATTTCAAGGTCATATCGAGCAGCAATTTGGTTTCGTGGTTTATTTGAAATTGGATCAGTTTTATAATGGTTCATTGTCATTAATTTTTTAACATCATCAATTGAATGAATTCTTGCACCATCTCTTGTAAATATTAAAGCACGAGAAGACCCAGTATAATTATACTCTTTCTTTCCTAATTCCATTTTCTTTAAATATCCACTTGATTCAAAAATTTCTTTAATATATGGAATATTATATGATGCCCAATATGTTTGATTAATTAATATTGATGTTACATCTTTTACAATATATTTTCCTGGCATTTGTTCACCAATATATAATATATTTTTCTTTCTCTGTGCATTTTTTTCAATAGAATTTAAATTAATAATCATCCATTGATTATTATATGTTCCACTATTAAATTGACCAATTGTCTTTGTAATTTCTTTAGGAGTTTGACCAAAATACATTGAAACAAGAATTCTTTGCCATGAAAGAAGAGAATTTGGTGTAATTCTTTCATTAAGTTTTTTTAAAAAAAATGAATTAGTAGTTTCCATTACACCAAACCTTTTTTGTTGAGAATTACTAAGTAAATAAAAATCATCTTTTGAATGAATTAATCCAGGACTACTTGCAAAACTCATTGGCTGAGCATTTTTAGTCCATGGAAAAAAGTAATGTTTATAAATTCTTAACATTGCATAATATGGTCTCCATGTATTATGTGAAAAAATAATATCATTACTTTTATTATTATATTTAATATATGCACTACATTCATGGTAAAGTTCATCAGGATTTTTATCTTGTAAATCTAACATTGAATTTTCACTATGAATCTTTTCAAATTTATCAGTAATAGTTGGTAAATCCCCAACAGAATTTAAAAAGTATAACTCTTCTAATGTCATAGGTTCTTTACCAAATTTTTTATACCCATTCCATAATCCTCTAAATTGTTCAAAAATTAATTTTTGATTCTTCCAATACATATCATCATTGTCATTATTTTTAATATGTTTTCTCCAAAAATTAAATTGAAGTGACATAAACCTTCTAATGTTTTTTTTTATTCCATGTTTATATTCATTTTTTAAATAGTTTTGCCAATATATCCATATCCATTGATGAGTTAAATATGATTCAATATATCCCGCTGCAAATGCTTGTTCTTCTGGTGAATACTTTTTATTTGTATGAATATTTAATACTCCCCACCCTGTACTATTAACTGTATTTTCATAACTTCCCCATGCAACACTCCCACGAATTGCTCCTTTAGTTATTTCAATGGAATTACCTTTTTTAATAATACTAAATTTTTGAGCAAAACTACAAAAGAAAAGAAAAAGTATAACAACAAATCCATATGAGAAATTCATAAAATTATAATAAGAAGTTCTTCTTTTTTTTTTAAAAAAATTAAAACTATTAAATATTTTAAATGATTAGAATAATTTATAATTGTGCGGTTGAAAAATGTAATGGTTTACATTTTACTCTTTTTCCATATCCCTTTTCTCCAACAAATACTCCATCTTTAAATACTAATTTACCCCTACAATATGTTGCAACAGGATAACCTTGCATTTCAAATCCTTCCCAAATAGTATGATCTACATTAGAATGCATATTATCAACACTAATTGTAAATTTCTTATTTGGATCATAAAGAACAATATCAGCATCAGAACCTATTCCTAAACACCCTTTTTCTGGATAAATACCAAATAATTTAGCTGGATTTGAACAACATACTTCAACCACTTTATTAAAAGTTAAAGTTCCTTTATTTGCTTCAGAAAGCATATAGGGAAACATATTTTCTATACCACTACATCCATTTGGAATCTTTGTAAAATCATCTTTTCCCCATTCCTTTTCTGATAATTGAAATGGACAATGATCTGTTGCAACTGTTTGAATAACTCCTGATTTTAATGCATTCCAAAGTGCTTGTCTACTTTCTTCTGTTTTCATTGGTGGGGAACAAACATATTTTATAGCATCTTCTTTTTTAAAGACATCATTTGTTAATTCAAGATATTGAATGCAAGTTTCTGCAAATATAGGATATCCTTCTTTTCTTGATTTCTCTATAATATTAATAGCACCTTTTGATGATAAATGTACAATATAGAGTGGTGCACCAACTGATTTTGCTAATGTAATTGCTCTTTGAACAGCTTCTTCCTCTACAAATTCAGGACGAGATTCATAATGATACCATGCTGATAATTTTCCTTCTGTTTTAAAGTCTTCAGTTAATGTATCAATTACTCCTTTATTCTCTGCATGAACTCCTAATAATCCTCCTGACGCTTTTGTCTTTTTAAGTATTTTATAAAAAAGACCATCAGTTACAAAGAAGTCATAAACCATAAATACTTTAAAACTAGAGACTCCTTCAGATATTACTGAATCAATAGAATCTAAAAGTTCATTTGTGCTAACATCTTTAATTGCAATATGAAATGAATAATCAATACATGATTGATGGGATGCAAGACTATCTCTTCTTTTTAAAGTTTCTATTAAATTCTCTCCACTTTCTTGAAGGGCAAAGTCAAATACTGTTGTTGTTCCACCACATGCAGCAGCCATAGTTCCATATTCATAGTCATCAGCAGATATTGTTCCACCAAAAGGCATTGCAAGATGAGTGTGTCCATCAACTGCACCTGGTAAAATTAATAAACCAGATGCATCAATAATTTCTACTTCTTCTTGTGGAGTCAATTCACTACCAATTGCAGCTATAACACCATCTTTTACATATATATCAGACTTAAAGCTTGAATCAGTAGTAATTATAGTACCGTTTTTGATGATGAAAGTCATTTTTTATTCTATTTAGAGTTCAACATATCTATTTATATTTATAACTAAAAACTGTAAATTAATTATTATTTAGTTTTGAACAATTCTTAATAGTTATCTTCAAAGAATATTATAGAAAACCTTGAAACTTCAAACAAAAAAAAAATAATTTCTATGATTCCATTTTTATATATCCACTTTATCTATTTTAAAATTCTTTTTGTTCTATGAATAAGTTGATGAAAGTTTTCAACATTAAGTCCAAAGAAATTAAAGCACTTTATTCTACAGACATTACGAATAACTGAAACAATTTGTTTTAATACATAAAAACCATAAAATTTTCTTAATGAACTTCTAAATGAAATAAAAAGGGTATTAAATTTATAAAAAGTGATGAAAGGGAGTTGTATTTTTTTTAGAAATTGTGCGATATTTCATGAAAACATTCCTAATTTTGAGACAACATCTTTACCATTAGTCATTCCTTCAAACTCTTTCTCATAACGAGAACAAATAATTTGTCTCATATAGTAATGTCATCTCTCAATTGTTGGATTGTTATCACATACAATTTACTAAAATTTATTTTTTTGTGCGTTCCATATGAATACCAGAAATTTGGATCTCCATAACACTCGTTGTTGAGGAGTGCATTAAACTGTGAATAACTCATATTACAACAAATTTTTATAATCAACTAACTAAGGGTTAGACTTTGAATTTAATTACTACTTAAATCTCAAATTATAATAAGCGGCACAGACCTTCTTTCGTTTCCTGCATCAAATGATAAAGTATGGTTTGAAGTTTTATCAATACACGATATATTATCAAGTATTAAATGACGATATATAATTAAGAATTGATGATATAAATCTATGCACTTAAATAATTTTTCCTTAGATAAAAAAAGATAAAACAAACAATCCACTGAGTGTGTTCCAATTTCAAATTTGTTTTTTCCTAGTACTTCAACATGAAATGTACCATCTTTTATTCTTGTTTTGTCTGAGTCAATAATAAATACCTCTTCTCATTTTAAAACCTAATTCTTTAATAGTAAAAACTAGTCTTAATTCTTTATCAGACCTCCTAAACGTTTGTTGTGGTCAATTAATTTTAATTAAGAAAAAATCATTTTCTTCACTAACACTGTGTTTATTTCTTATCTTATTTATTAAGACATTTGAAATTCTAGGGTTTTATCTTCTTGAATAATTTCCCAGTCACTTTCTCAGATAATAGACAATATCAACACACTCTTTATTTTCAATACCATCTTTATACATAAATTCTTTATCATCACTAATGTTAATTACTTCTATTTAACTATTATTTCTTTGATACAATTGATGATTGAGTCTAGTTATTTGAGTTGGCTGTTACTTGGACTGGGTTTGAGAGATTAGTAGAAATATTACTAATGAAGTGTCTAGACTAGTTTCTGAGAAAAGGTAATCGTTTGGCTATTACCAGACAATGGCTCTGATTTAAGGCCATCCATTAAAAAATATTCTAGTACAAGAACTCTTGTGGGTGATTATTTATGGAAGCTGTTATCCGTTTATTTTACATTTGGTTCATAAATGATCGGTGAAATTGTAATTAATAAGATTGAAGTGTATGTACTATATCAAGAGAGAAACACTCAAAAGATGGTGTTTTGTCTTCAAAAATCTTAATTCCTTCTTCTACTTCAGATGAATTACTAGTGACATCAATTATTTCAATTTAACAAATGAAAAAATTGAGTTTTCACTTTTTTTTAAAACAAAACTTGAATGACTACTCAAAATTGTTTTAAATATTTTTGTTTTTTATAAACACTTTTTACTATTTGTTTTAAAAAACATAAACTATACTAAACGATAAAATTATCATCGAACTCTCTATATTCTTCAGTTTTTATTTCACCACTATTCTTTGACCATAAAGCCCTAAACTTTAATACATAACACAGCAATGCAATAACACACCCCAACAAAGAACCTGCTATAATATCGTCATATCCATGGAAATAATCTCTTACTCTAGAGATAGCAACTAGAAATCCAAATAACAAAGGAAAACAACATCCAATTAATTTTAAGATTGAACCATCTCCATTAAATACTTTGTATTCTCCACATAATAATAATGTGAGAAACATCATTCCATTAAATGTCGTAGAAGAATGTCCACTTGGGAACGACTGATATCCTTTTGATGCTTTATTATTATCAATAAGCGAATAGTAATTAGGGCGAGGCTTTCCCGAAAACAGTTTGAAAGCATTTGTCAAGAATAAACACAATGAGACTGCAAAGAAGAAAGTAATTGTTGACGTCATAAAATACTTCACTGAATCTCTTTTCTTTGCAAAATAAAAAATAACAACTACTGGAATACACCATGAAAAAATACAACAAAACAAAAAGGGAAATGTTTCAGAAACTAATGGATAGTTCACATTCAAATTCTTTCTCTCAAGAGGAATATCCATCTGATGTGATGGTAAATATTTTAGAAGAACTCCTCCAACAAAAAAGATAATAGTAATACTAAATTCAACTACTAGTGCTTTGGTACATTGTTGTTTAATCGATCTAAAATCTAACATTTGGTTAGTAGTTTAACCTATTACTAACAAAAAAAGAAAACTATTAAATAATTAGTAAATGAATTCCATTGAGTCAACCAATAAAAGTGATATTCAAGCTAATTTACAATATCTATATCAAATACGTACTCAAATCAAATCAAAGAAAATACAACTAACTCTTCAACGCACAAATTTAAGAATCAAATATGATCAAGAAATGCATGAATTATTTGAAAAAAGAAGAGTTCTTATCAATTAGTTTTTTTTATTTTTTGTTTTCATTTTTTTTTTATTTAATGTTAAGCTTCTTGAAATATTTAATCTAAGAAGAAATATTTTATCCACAAACACAGAAAAATAAGTTTTTGTTAATTTTATAGAACACAAATACAATTCTCTTATCAACACAAATTCCAAATGAACACTCTTATTTAGCACAAGGAATATTAAAAATAGAATAGTTAAGAAAGGAGAACCAACGATAAGATTTAAATAATAATCGAAAAAACGTCGATTTGAAATACTAGAATTATTGTCTTTAAACATTATTGAATGAAGTATTATCTATAATTTCTTTTGTTGTATTTCTATATCCAAACAATCAAAAATAAGATTGACTTTTCTTTTTCAAAAAATTAATCTTTCAATTTATAATTTCATTATAATGAAATACTATAATAATTAAATTTTTTATGACAATAACAGGAAAAAATGAATAACTCCAATTTCGTTGGGTTGGTTATCAATATCGGACATAAAAAATTCATAACACTAATAGTGGTGTTACTCAAATGTCAGTAAAGTTTAAAAAAATTATTAGAATAGGAGAATAATTTTGGTGTTATGTGCTAACTTATTTAATAAAATTTATAAATTGATCATTTTAATAATATCATATTATTAAATCCTTTATTATGATTATTAAATTATCTCAATAAGGTTATGATAACTAGTTTTTTTGTTATTACTTAATATTAAATTTTATTAATGGTATTAAAAAAGTTTTATGACTTCTCACAAGACTTGATTCAATTAAATAGTATATTAAATTTATTTTTTAACATAAAAACTTGAGCCACCTAACGTAAAGAGTTATTAATTTTTAATGGTTCTTCTTCAAATTTTTTAATACTTTCTATCCAAGATTGGAGATGTTATTATTGGTTAATTTCTTCAGTTCTTTTACTGTTAATTTAACAAAAGAATCCGATGAGTTTATAAAATCCATTTTCTTTTATTTTTTTTTTTTTAGTAATTTTCTTTTTAACTTTTGTTGGAGTTTTAAGTGTAGTATACTTGTTGCGATGAAACACTACAATGTTCTTTGTAAACATAAATTTGAGTAAAATAATGAATGGATTAATTTAAGGATATCCAATACTTTTATCTATTGTCCTTTCTTTTCTAAGTTACATATAATATTTTTTGAACTATATTAGCCATTTGTTTACTTATAATAATTCTTTAACTAAAAATTACAAATAAGAAAAGTGTAGTTCAATATGATTTACGATTTGACTATGATTGTTATATGTATTTTTCAACAATTTATTAGTGAAGAATACTGGCAATCATTTTTTATTTTAATCATCCTGATTTCTTTAATAATTAATACTTAATTTTGGTAGGCTATGAATAAATAGCTCTTTCATTAAATTAGGTGGTGTTAAATTGAGGTGACTCGTATTTATTTGTATGAGTAACTCTTATTCGAGTGAACAAAATTGCCATATGATTTTTAACGATAGTTTCATTTCAAGAAAAATTAAAACTATTATTTTAGAAGTTCAGATTCATAAAATTTGTTTAATCAAAGTATTAAATAAATCAAAACAAAACCAATAATTTATTTGAAAAAGGAAGTTAATTTTTTAAATAAATAAAACCGTAACTAGCGAAATTTAAGTTCAGTAAGTAAAACATAAGTAAATTCTTTTCTTGATATATATAACACTATACCATTGAATCACTGAACTAAGAAAGAAAAATATAATAGAAATAAAAATATAATAAAGTTATTATAATGTATGGTTTGGATTTTTTTCATAAAAAAGAACCAAACGGAAATAAAACAAACTACTGAACTGCCTTCCATATCACTTCCATACCTTATCTTATTGTTTCTAACGAAAGTGGTAACTTAGCTAATACTAACAACACATTTGTTAAGTTTACTAAGAAGACAAATAGTAATTACAATACTTAATCAACTAAGTGACTGGACCTCTTTTCTTAGTACTAATAAATACACGAATATGGATAAAGAAAAAAAATGTGTTTTTATATCTGTGATGATTTTAAAGTCATTGAGAAAAGTGAAAAATCGAAATTAAACAAAAAGAAGTTCTTTCGCTAAAATCTCAGAAACTGAAAATTATTTAAACAAACTCATTATGAATTACCACTCTTATATCGATAACAGAAACTACCAATCTAAAGTTAGGGCATTTTGTATTGCATTACTAAACCGGCATTGTGATATTAATTTAAAGAAAAGGAGCTATCGTAAATTACTTACTATTCCCTTTCTTCAAATACAAAGATTATGCTTTAGCGATGATAATGTTATCGATTTGCAAGCACTAATTAAAAGAAGAGTATATGGCTTAGAAGAAACAGATATTAAAAATAATATTAATACACAAACAGCACTTTATCGAAAGAAAAAGAATGGCTATAGAGAGTCTATCAATATTGTCAATGATTTACTCTCTGAATTTGGGTATTGTATTCATTCATCACAAACACCAGGGAGATATAATACAGTTAAAATGGATATTGTTAAATCAATAGCTTTTAATGGAGTAATTTACGATAGAATTGCGATAGAAAGAATTGGAGAAGAAATGTTCAAAGAAATAGAAAAGAAATTTGGGAATAAAAGTACTTTTGTTCTAAAACAAAACGATAACACTCTATCTATGTTATTAAAGAATGGATAAACCTCTCTAATTTTTTTTTAGAGTTATTCAAACTATTTGCTTATAAAAAAACTAAAAACAAAAAAAATCTTTCAACAAAAATTATTTTTGTAAAATTTTTTCAAATTTTTGTTTTATAAAAAATCAAAAGATAAAATTTATATAAAGAAAATATTTCTTGTAATAGACTAAAATTATTTAAAATTTTTCTTTGAAGAAATGATCTAATTAACGATATAATAATAAATGACAGTTAACCACATCATTTTATGTTCAGATAAAAGAGGTATAATTATTACATACCCTTTATTTCCTGAAGGTGAATATAACTATAATTCTATTCCTCATATCTGTTTTAGTGATTGTCCAGGAAACTATAATTATTTCACTGTACCTTGTTTTTCCATTAACCCACCACTCTATGGAATTGCATGGTTTAATAAATATAACTTCTCTCAGTACCTTCCAGGACCAGAAAATCCAAAAGAAGATGAACAGATAGCATTATGCATGATCACTTCATCTCCTTATCTTCATTTATTTCTTCAACGATTCAAACCATTAGCTGATTTATATTTCATTCAAAATTCATTTATTAACAACTCTTTAATTCAAGCAATTTTTAAAACATTAAATTGTTCAATGAATGATCCAATTTATACATTACCAGATCCTTGTTCACTGATTAATGCTTGTGGTAAAAATATCTTATTGTTGGTTAAAATGTTGTTATTAAAATGTAGAATTTGTGTAAATAATAAAGTGAGTTCTGACATTAATTCGGAATGGATTCTTGCTTTATTATCATTCATTCCAGGTGCCCTTTTTCCTGCAACGGATACACTTAAATCAATTGGATTTGTTACACAAACAAAACAATCAATAATACATTGCCCTCTTTCAGAAATTGAGTTAATAGAAAATGTGGAAATTTTTGGTGGAACACATCCAATTTTCAGAGAAATGGCTGAAATAGATTGTGTTATTACAGAAAAAGGAGTTATTGTAAATGGTAAATATAAAAAAATACTTGAACAAACCAAAGCAGATAAAGTCTTTACCCAACAATTACTTAGTGCTTCTCGTTCTATGAACTGTTTGTAAAAAAAACATCTTTCTTCTTTTAATAAAATTAGTATTAATTAATCTAGATGATTTAGCCATTGATTTAATATTACAATATATTGTTGGACTGATATCTGTTGCTGTTAAATCAAGAGGGAGATGGATTGAATCACAAGACGTTATGAATTATGGTTCTTCTTTTGTAGAAGAATTCAAGAAAACTGAATTCTTTAAATCATTACCATCAAATATTCAAACAAATGCAATTCATCCAGCAAAACTATTAAATTCAGTTATTGATTTTAGCTCATATAAAAAATCAACAACAGTTAAGGTGAATACTATTAGTGGAACTGCATTCCCATTATATAAAAAATATTTAAATTCAAATCAATCGTAATTCATTTAATCATCATTCATTTTGTCTTCTCTTTTTTTCTTTTTTTTCCTTTTTAAAAACTTAAAATATTACTTTATGTTTTTATATAAACCAAAGGTAATTTCTACTACCCCTTCAAATGAAAAAGAAGAAACCATCAACTCAGTTTCTGAAGAAATCTATCAAAGACTTTATGGAAGACGTCTTTCTTCATGCTCTTTTAGAGAGGAGAAAATTGAAAATAATTTATATACACTCCCTCAAAATGAAGAACTTGAGTTAAGATGTTTATCAAAAGAAACAGATTATTGCAAACATAAGCTCAAAATCAAAATTCAAAATGAGACATTGTTTTATTTATATAACAATTTATGGTATAAAACAATGTTTCAAATTAAACGTGATGAAGACATCAAACAATGGGAAGATGTTAAAGATGGTGAAGTAATCATTACTTCTCAAAGGTTTGTCTTTGTTTCTAATTCTTGTGAAACAAAGCAAAGTGTATATGATATTCCTCTTGGGGTTTTATTTTCATTATCAAATTCAAATGGATACATTACAATTGAATTAAACCCTTTCTATTCTTCATTGTATAATGATAATATTTGTTTCCAAGCCAGTAGGTCAGTGTGTGATACCATTTCAACAGAAATTACTAATATTCGTTTCGGTATTGGTTTTGGACAAGAATCAAAAACTGCTTTCATTCAAAATACAGAAAGTTTTGTTAAATTTTTTAATTATTTATAAAACAAATAAAAACTAATCATATAGGATATGATCAAGAGTTATATTATAATCCAAATTCTAAATATTTCAGAGTATATAAAAATGATGATTATGAACTATGTGATACTTATCCAAAAAATTTACTTGTTCCAGTTAAAATTACAGATGATATTATTAAGAAATGTGCTGAATTTAGATCAAAAAGAAGAGTTTGTTTTAAGATGATTTAATAATTACTTGGCTGAATAATAAATAATTAATATAGATACCAATTTGTACTTATTTTAATCAAATTACTCATGGAGCTATATATCGATGCTCTCAACCACTAGTAGCTAATTCTTCATATTTTATTGGAGTAATAAAAGATAGTGTTTCAAAAGAAGATCAAGAATTTTTATCAGAGATTAGAACTATAGGTAAAAATGATAGTGCTATTTTATACATTTTTGATTGTAGACCAGTAACAAATGCATATGCAAATAGAGTAAACGGTGGAGGATATGAAAACACAAGTGTATACAAAAAGACTCAACTTAAGTTCTTAAATATACCTAATATTCATACTGTTGTTGACTGTTTTATTAAAATGAGAAACGCTCTCTTTAATCGTGACATTCTTACACCTCTTTCATATTATCGAGATACATCAGAATGGTTAGATCTTTTGTTTGGATTAGTAAATTCTGTAATTGATGTTGTTTCTCTTGTCCAAAAAGGAGAGACAATCTTGGTTCATTGTAGTGATGGATGGGATCGAACAGCCCAAATATCATCTTTATGTAGATTAATTCTCAGTAAAGAATATAGAACAACTAAAGGATTTTGTGATTTGATATATCAAGAATGGATATCTTCTGGTCATCAATTCCAAAAGAGACTTCATAACAAAACAAATGAAAATTCCCCTGTTTTTCTTCAATTTATTGAAATTACTGCTCTTTTTTTGAGACATTCACCACAGGCATTTCAATTTAAAGAAGATTTATTGATAAAAATAGCAGAAGAAGCAACATGTCCAACAACAATAACATTTGTTCGTAATTGTGAAAAGGAAAGAAGTGCTTTAAATTGTGATAGATATTTAGAATTCTTCACTCAAGAATTAAAACATTATCCAATATCTTTTGACTATAATAAATTAGAGTCAATTGACTTAAATTTTAATGCACATGAATATGTTGTATGGAATAAATATTATTTACGTGAAACAAAAGTTATCATTCATTAATTGAATTTATTTAACAAACTTAATAACTAAAAAAAAAAATGTAATAGCAATTAAAATTGATTGTAATATCCTTTAGCCCGATGACAAAAGACTGATATAAATAATAAAACTGTAAGAATTGATGCAGTAATAGTAATCAAAAGATAAACCCCTGATGAAAGGAAAAAGAATATTCCAAGTGGTTTTATAATTCTATCATAACAAGTTGTATTACATTCATCTGTTGTATAATTTTCATTTAAATAACAACCACAAACTTTAGTAACTTTATTATATCCACAACAAGAGTACTATTACATTAGTTCTTTTAATTGTATCGAAACAAATAAATAAAACCAAACAAACATATTGCTCAAATGCATATGACTTAACAATATTCTGAATTTCATTCCATAATTCTTCAAATGAATTTTTATACATATTTTTATATCCAACACCTCCAAAATAAGCGATTCCACCAATACACAACACACCAAATATAACAACTAAAATCGCAATTATCATTTTTACAACACGATTATGAAAACATGAAATACACGTTACAATAATAAAAACAATAAGAACAACACCAGAAAATGCTATCGAAATATATGATGTAATCACATCAATTTGAGCGTCTTGTATATCAAAGTCATTCATTTTAGATGTTGATATAACTTGTAATACACCTAATATAATAGCAATAATACTAAGAATCTAATTTATGAGAGTGTTGAAAGTGTTTAATAAAAAAACAAACAATTCCAATACTAGAAACACAAAATGTTAGAAAAGAACTACACCCCATTTAAATAATAAGAACTTGATTAGTTTTGTGATTTTAAGTTTTTTTATTGTTTTGCAAAACAATTAAATAAATTAATAATAATAAAATAGTAAATTATAATTTAAAAGAAAACTGAAAACTGATAAGATTTGATTCTTAAAGTAATATGGAAGGATGTAAAAAAGATCAAAGGAAATTACCATCAAAACTACTTATAACTACATTAAATTCTATTCAAAATGTTCTCCCAAATTCAACATCAATTTATGTTGTTTCTATTGATTCAAAATCTGTCAATTATATTGGATCTTTTTTACAACCTAAAAAAAAGAGAGAAAAGAAAAGAAATTCTTCTTCACGTGAAAGTGTTTCTTTTGAGGAAGTACTAGACTCTTTATCTCAATTAATTGTTGCTACTGTTAATGTTGGGAAAACGTATGAAGAAACTGATACTTTAAAAACAATGCACCTTCAAGGAAGAGATTCAATGATTTCAATTATTTTTAATAAAAAACAAAGCATTGTTTGTTAACATTCATTTAATAAAAGATATATTAATATTTATATTATAGTGTGTTGTAATTGATTCAAATATTAATGAAATGTGTTATGTATTTGATGATCAAATTCAAATTCTATGTCAACCAATATTTGATACACTAGAATAATATAATTCATTTCGTGAATAAAAAAACAAAATAAACGTCAATTTAAAAAGAGAATTTAAGTTGTTTAATGTTAATCTTTTAAAGAATTATTTCTTTAAAAAAATACCAAAAAGAACGAGGAATATAAGAAGTAATAAAATGTTTTGAATAGCCATCATTTTTTCTTTAAAAGTAAGTTCAACAACACGATCACTAACTTTACTTACAATACCTCTATTGGTATCTTTAATTCTTTGTTCATGTTCAAATTTATCAATATATGTTTGAATAAGATGTCTACATTCTTTTTCATATTTTAACATTAAATCTTTTTCTTTTTCATCACCTTTCTTCTTTAAAAGAATATTAGCCTGAACAGTTAAAATAGTTTCATTATGTTTAGACAAACTTAAAAGAAGTCTAGTTTCAGTTGAATAATAATCTTGAGAATCGAGATAATTTTTAATAGATCCAATAATTAATGCTGATTTTTTTAATTGATAAAATTCTTGAATTTGAGCTCTTGTTGTTACTTTTCCATTAGGAGTATCAACTGGTTCAATTGTATTAATATTTCTAGTAAATCCACCTTGAATATTTTTCCAATTAGTCATTTCTATATTTGTTTGTCCTAGTTCTTCTCTTAATTTAATTTGTTGTTCACGTGTCTTATTTTCTACAAATGTATTGAAAAATTGAAGAGGAGTCATAGGAATAGTAGTTTCAATAATAGTTTTCATCTTTGGTTGTTTGAAGAATTTAGGTTCTGGTACTTCATCGTCAATAAATTCAATGTCACCACTTGAAGCTGGTTTACCTGAAATTTTTTCTGTATACTTCTTAATCATAACATCAATATCTTTCTTTGCATTATTAATACCTTGACTTTCAATAGTTCCTTTTAACATAACTTTTTTTAAGAAAACTACTGCAAATTCTTCTACAAAATGACATTGTTTTTCTCCTTTTGGTGAAATAGTAGTTTTAAATTCAAGTTTAAATGAATCTCCATAAGGAACATCAGGTGTTTGATTAGTAGAACAGATAATTAAATTATCTCCTTCAAAATAATATATTTCATTAACAATAGCATGTGCAGAAGATGGTCCAATAGGTATTCCTTTTAATGGAACAATAAAGTCTTGAGTTCTAGTAAATCCAAATTGCTCACTTACTTCCCAATCAGAAACGTTAATATTTGTTAACTCTTTTTCTGCAAGTATTTCTTTAAACTTTTCTTTAGCTTCATTTCTAACAAATTTTTCATAAAATTCTTTAACAGAACAATCAAAATCAGTTTCTCCTCCTGGTTGGAATTCAGTAGCAGTTAAAAATCCTTCATATGAAACTTTTTTTGGTGCAGGTGATGATAAAATTTGTGGTGTAAGATTGTTAATACTCGAATTAATAAATGGAGTAGGAGATGAAGAGAAACCACTTTGTGCAATTTCTGAAGGTGTTCCATTAACAATTGAATCAGTAGAAATATCTGATGAATCTTCTGATTTTTCTGTTTCAGATTCTGAAGTCATTAATACCCTATTTGTTAAAGTACAATAGTTATTCCAATGTTGAGTAACAACTTGAATAAATTTTTCTGAATTTTCTATTCCACTAATTTTAACATTTGAATTGTTTGATTTGACAAATAAAATTCTAAGTGATTTACCTTTTGCTTTAATTCCTGATATATCTTCAAACTTCCAAACATCAGCATTGAATTTTAAGACTTGAGGCCAAAAACAAATATATCGATGAAAAACATATAATTTCCCTAATTTTGATATTGATTGTTTACAACTACATTTAAATGCACAAATTAAACTTTCATTATAAGGAAGTCCAAATCGATGAATATATTCTGTCATTTTAACTTTTTCAATTAAAATAGATGGAGTAAATGTAGGATCAAGTGATTGCATATTTGTATTATTTTTTTAGTTTCATTCATTTTTATTTGTTTTCTTTTTATTTTCTTAAGTTTTATTTCTTTATCTTTTTCTTATTTCCCCTAATTTTTATATTAAATCATCTATCAAAAAAAAAATAATTGAATTTCAGTTAATTTCAATTGGTTTTGAATTGAATCAAAATTCCTTATTTCATTTTATTGTTTTAACTCTTTTTCATTTTTCTCTATTTATTTATTAAAGAAAAGAACAATAACAATTCAAAGTAGTTCACTCAAACTTTTTTAAATTAAATTCCTTTCTTTATTAATTATAATCAATTTAATAATTTCCTGAAAATAAAGATTATTAACATACTTAAAACAATTCATTTGATTATTACAATTTAATATTTTTGACACTCTTTCATAATTTTGTTGAATTGAATTCATTTCCATTTAAATCGAGTTTTTTATTACATCCAAAATTATTTTGAAGCGAAGAATTTCATTAGCATTACTTCACTTCAATAAATAATATCACTTTATCTTATTTAGATTTGGAGGACATGTTATACTTCTGACAAAAAACAAGGAATTCATTTATGGTCGAACGATAAATAATTATTCAACCTTATTAATGAATTATTTTTATCCTAAAAAATATCAACTCTTCAATAAGAACGACCAAAACATCATCTGATAAATGTCCTGTTACAGTTATTTCTGTTAGTAGGTATTTTAAAGAAGGAAGAATGTACTGAAATAAAATATCATTGCAAAAGTTGCATAAACAAGTCATGATACTTCAATGCGACAATAAGTTTTTATCGTACTCTTTTTTTAATCTTCTATCAAAAAATCTAAACAAAAGGAACAAATTGAGTGATTGAACTTTTAGTTTCAGAATCCTAATTTTAGAGTGAACGAAAATAAAACCCTGCCACGTAATAATCCAATTGAAATCCTTTAAATTCTTCTAATTTGAAGAAATTTACTATTTTCGAAATAAGAAAAAGGTATATTTAGAGAATCCTTTTTTTTCAAAAAATGCTTTACAAACTTATTCTTAACCTAGCCCCGTTTCTTGGTTCAGAGCTATTTAAACCTCCATCAAAACTAAATTATTCATTCAAAACAAATAAGTAACATGTCTGCACAACAAAGTATGACTGTAGATGAACATATTAATCAACTTGTTGCTAAAGCACAAGTTGCACTTAAAGAATATCTTAAACCAGAATTTACACAAGAAAAAATAGATTATATTGTAAAGAAAGCATCAGTTGCAGCACTTGACCAACATTGTGCACTTGCAGCAGCAGCAGTTGAAGAAACAGGAAGAGGTATTTTTGAAGATAAAGCTACTAAGAATATATTTGCATGTGAACATGTTACACATGAAATGAGACATGCTAAAACCGTTGGTATTGTTAATGTAGATCCACTTTATGGAATTACAGAAATTGCAGAACCAGTTGGAGTTGTTTGTGGAGTTACACCAGTTACTAATCCAACATCAACAGCTATTTTCAAATCACTTATTTCAATTAAGACAAGAAATCCAATTGTATTTTCATTCCATCCATCAGCACTTAAATGTTCAATTATGGCAGCTAAAATTGTTAGAGATGCAGCTATTGCAGCAGGAGCACCAGAAAATTGTATTCAATGGATTGAATTTGGAGGAATTGAAGCATCAAATAAATTAATGAATCATCCAGGAGTTGCAACTATTCTTGCAACAGGAGGAAATGCTATGGTAAAAGCAGCATATTCATCAGGAAAACCAGCACTTGGAGTAGGAGCAGGAAATGTACCAACATATATTGAAAAGACATGTAATATTAAACAAGCAGCAAATGATGTAGTTATGTCAAAATCATTTGATAATGGTATGATTTGTGCATCAGAACAAGCAGCAATTATTGATAAAGAAATTTATGATCAAGTAGTTGAAGAAATGAAAACACTTGGAGCATATTTCATTAATGAAGAAGAAAAAGCTAAGTTAGAAAAGTTTATGTTTGGAGTTAATGCATATTCAGCAGATGTTAATAATGCAAGACTTAATGCAAAATGTCCAGGAATGTCACCACAATGGTTTGGAGAACAAGTTGGAATTAAAATACCAGAAGATTGTAATATTATTTGTGTAGTTTGTAAAGAAGTTGGACCAAATGAACCATTAACAAGAGAAAAATTATCACCAGTTCTTGCTATTCTTAAAGCAGAAAATACACAAGATGGAATTGATAAAGCAGAAGCTATGGTTGAATTTAATGGTAGAGGACATTCAGCAGCTATTCATTCAAATGATAAAGCAGTAGTTGAAAAATATGCACTTACAATGAAAGCATGTAGAATTTTACATAATACACCATCATCACAAGGAGGAATTGGATCAATTTATAATTATATTTGGCCATCATTTACACTTGGATGTGGATCATATGGAGGAAATTCAGTATCAGCAAATGTTACATATCATAATTTATTAAATATTAAAAGACTTGCAGATAGAAGAAATAATCTTCAATGGTTTAGAGTACCACCAAAAATATTCTTTGAACCACATTCAATTAGATATCTTGCAGAACTTAAAGAACTTAGTAAAATATTTATTGTATCAGATAGAATGATGTATAAATTAGGATATGTTGATAGAGTTATGGATGTATTAAAAAGAAGAAGTAATGAAGTAGAAATAGAAATTTTCATTGATGTAGAACCAGATCCATCAATTCAAACAGTTCAAAAAGGACTTGCTGTTATGAATACATTTGGACCAGATAATATTATTGCTATTGGAGGAGGATCAGCTATGGATGCAGCTAAGATTATGTGGTTACTTTATGAACATCCAGAAGCAGATTTCTTTGCAATGAAACAAAAATTCATTGATCTTAGAAAGAGAGCATTTAAATTCCCAACAATGGGTAAAAAAGCTAGATTAATTTGTATTCCAACAACATCAGGAACAGGATCAGAAGTTACACCATTTGCAGTTATTTCAGATCATGAAACAGGTAAGAAATATCCACTTGCAGATTATTCACTTACACCATCAGTTGCTATTGTAGATCCAATGTTTACTATGTCACTTCCAAAGAGAGCAATTGCAGATACAGGACTTGATGTATTAGTTCATGCAACAGAAGCATATGTTTCAGTTATGGCTAATGAATATACAGATGGACTTGCTAGAGAAGCAGTTAAATTAGTTTTTGAAAATCTTCTTAAATCATATAATGGAGATTTAGAAGCAAGAGAAAAAATGCATAATGCAGCAACAATTGCAGGTATGGCATTTGCATCAGCATTCCTTGGTATGGATCATTCAATGGCACATAAAGTAGGAGCAGCATTCCATCTTCCACATGGTAGATGTGTAGCAGTATTATTACCACATGTCATTAGATATAATGGACAAAAACCAAGAAAACTTGCAATGTGGCCAAAATATAATTTCTATAAAGCTGATCAAAGATATATGGAACTTGCACAAATGATTGGACTTAAATGTAATACACCAGCAGAAGGAGTTGAAGCATTTGCTAAAGCATGTGAAGAATTAATGAAAGCTACTGAAACTATTACAGGATTCAAACAAGCAAATATTGAAGAATCAGCATGGATGAGTAAAGTACCAGAAATGGCACTTCTTGCATTTGAAGATCAATGTTCACCAGCTAATCCAAGAGTACCAATGGTTAAGGATATGGAAAAGATTCTTAAAGCTGCTTATTATCCAATTGCTTGAATAGATAATTAATTACTTCTTTATAAAATAAGGTAAATTTAATTTTATCATAAAGATATTATAAGAAGGAATAAAATTTATTTTTTTTTAAATAAAAATATTATTCACAGATAAAGTTTTGAAAGTAAAAAATTACTTTTGATATTTTTAATTAATAAATGAAAGAAAGTCTTATCATATCATAAAGTTATAGATTTTCAAATTGTAATAAATATTCAATTTATTTTCTATTAGTAAAAGTGTTATTGTTACATCTATTAGAATAAAGTCATATTAACAAAATAGATTGACTTATAAAGACCTCCTTTGATATTTTTTTGTTTATTCTCATTGGATTATAAAAATAACAAAGTTGAGATTATTTAAAGGTTGATACAATGAATTAACAAATACATTAATAAAAATAATGGAACAAATAAGTATTAATTCTCCAAGAAAAAGAATTTATCATAACATTCTTGAAACTATTGGAGGTACACCATTAGTTGAACTTCATAGAGTAACAGAACATCCAACAATTAAGAAAGGAACAAGAATCTTAGTTAAATTAGAGTATTTTAATCCAATGTCATCAGTCAAAGATCGTGTTGGATTCAATATTGTTTATCAAGCTATTAAAAATGGAAGATTAAAACCAGGAATGGAAATTATTGAAGCTACTTCTGGAAATACAGGAATTGCACTTTGTCAGGCTGGAGTTGTTTTTGGATATCGAGTTAATATTGTAATGCCATCAACAATGTCACTTGAACGACAAATGATTATGAAAGCATTTGGAGCAGAATTAATTCTAACTGAAGGAAAGAAAGGAATTACAGGAGCTATTGAAGAAGTTAACAAAAAGTTAAAAGAAAATCCTGGAAAATATTTTGTTGCAAACCAATTTGGTAATCCTGATAATACTACATCACATTATTATACTGCTAATGAGATTTGGGAAGATACAAATGGAGAAGTTGATATCGTTGTTTCTGCTGTTGGAACATCAGGAACTGTTATTGGGATTGCTGAGAAATTAAAAGAAAAGAAAAAAAGAATTAAAATAATAGCAGTTGAACCAGAAGAATCAGCAGTATTAGAAGGTAAACCAAAAGGACCACATGGAATTCAAGGAATTGGAGCAGGTTTTATTCCAGATATTTATAAGAAAGAATTTGTTGATGAAATAATACCAATTAAAACACAAGAAGCATGGAAAATGGCAAGAATAGTAGTTAAATATGAAGGAATTATGTGTGGAATGTCAAGTGGTGCAGCAATTTTAGCAGGATTAAAAGAAGCGGGAAAATCAGAAAACGAAGGAAAAACAATAGTTATTATTGTACCATCATGTGGAGAACGATATTTATCAACAGAATTATATAAAATTAAAGATGAAGGTACAAAAACACAAATTCTTGATTCTTTATTGAATTAATTATTTTAAATTTTAAATTTTTTTCTTCTTTTTTAAACTTAAAATTTTCTTTTTTAAATAAAAAGTCATTTTATATTATTCTTTTCTTCTGTTATCATCTCATTGAATATGTAAATATCTTGTTATACTTTGTAACATCTTCTTGCATTCTTTATCATTACATACTTCTTTCATTGTTCCTATTAATTTAGGTATATTCCCATTATTCATTTCTCCTATAAATTCCGGTGATTTAACTGCACTGTTATTATGTATGATATCATATATTGTGTTTGTTATATAATTAATTAATTGTGGCATTTTATAAAAGAATTTATCACTTACTGATATATATATTAATTGAATTGTAATTTTAACAAATGGAATTACATCATCAATAACATAATTCTGATATATTGTTGAATATACATAAAATGCTGCTGTTCTAAGTTCACTCACTGCTCTAATTATTTCTTCATCTTCTTCACTTTGTACTGTATTAACTCCACTTAATATTTCTACAACTGTTGGAACCCCTATTTGACTTTCTTTAGGACATGTTGCTATGATATCTCCAATTACTTGAATAATACCTGTTTTATCCCCAAATGTTAAATATGGCTTTTTAAATATTCTAAGAATTAATTCTAAATAGTTACTTGCATATTGTTCAAACTCTTTTTGTATTGTTATACTAATATCACCTACAAGTTCACATAACAATTTGTATATGTTTGGTGGTAATTCACTATTTAACCATTCTACCGTTTTTGGAATTAATGGAAGACAATATGGTGCAAAACTTGCTTCAAGTGAATAACACATTGACCCTATTAACATCAATGATGGTTCTGGTGTCATTGGAAATGCTTTAATTGCAATACCAAATAATGAATCACAAATTGGCTTATTTGAAAGCAATGTTGAAATTACTTCATTTCCTGATGTTCCATTCTTTGTTGCACTTACACAACTATCTAAGAATAAGATAGAATAACCTAAAAGATCTGATGAATTAAATAATTGTGTTGACATACAATCACTTAAAATAAAACGAATAATTGTAATTACCATTTCATTAGAATATTAAATAAAACATAACAAAGACTTTTTAATATTCAAGTAGTACACTTTGTATTCTCTTTAAACTTACGATTCAATATGAAATCATTATTTGTATAAAAGATATTAAAATACAAAGGAATGAAAATAAAAGATAAATAAAATCTATAAAAATGTTTAATTTAATTTCACATGGAAGAGTTACCTTTTTTTGATGAAGATATACAACCACAAAAATTAAGACTTTGTGAGAAATGTGGATTACATCCAAACATTTGTATATGCCAATTAATTCCTAAAGAAAAACAACATGATAACTATCCATATTTAATTATACTGCAAGACCCAAGAGAGGCAAAAGTAAAATTAAATACAGTAAAATTAATCGATAAATATTTTAAACATGTTGAAATATATAAAAAAAACTTACCAATTGAACTTATTGATAAAATTCAACAAAAACCAAATGAATTTGCTGTTTTGTTTCCTCGTAAAACAGCAAAAATAATTGATAGTGGAAATGATATTTCATTTACACAACAATATAAATATATTATAATTATTGATGGTACTTGGGATCAAGCAAAGTCCATTTATAATAGAAATAAATTACTTCATCAATTAGACACTGTTTGTATTGTTATTTTATAAGGAATTTTAGTTAAAATAAAAACTTATTGTTAGTTAATCTTAAGTAATGGAAATAATTATTCTCAATACAACGAAATTCGAAAAGAGATTAGTGGTGGAATGTCTACTTTTGAAGCAACTATAACAACGATATCAATTATAATGAAAGAACCATCTATGATAATTGATAGAAATAATATAATGAAGAGATTTATAGAAATGAGAACAAAATATTATGAATAATAAATGAATTATATGGTAGAAAAACCCTCTTTTTAATTTTATAAGATTTAAAAAAAGAAGAAGATGTTCAAATAAAATTGAATTAATTTCTTTTGTTTTAATCAAAATCAGATTACTTTGTTAATTCATCGAACTTGTTGTAATCATCTTCTCCTTTTCCAAGTTTTCTTTTAATCATTGGCAAAAGAGCTAAAGTACCAAAGACAATAAGGACTATAAGTAAAGTAGTATCAGCAAGGCAAATAATAACAATGAATGCAATTTCACATCCTGTTTCAAGGGATTCAGAACCAGTAGTAACAGTTGGGTCAAAACAATCAATAGTAACATTAGTTCCTTTTGGAACAGCAACTAACCATTGACCATCACATTGATTTACAACATCATATTCTTTATTTTCAGCAGAAACAGAAACCGTCATTTTTTCTGGGAATCCTTTAGCATTGTACATTAATGGAATAGCAACTTCAGCGTTTTCATTTAATTTTTCTTCAGTAGCATCAACAATAAATTTAACATTATCTAAAACAGAGAAAATAACATTTTCACGAGCATAGATATGAGAAAATGAATCAGAATCAAAGGAAACAGTGAAAACAGTATTAATAATATTATAACTAGCTTCACTCAAATCCTTTTCACAAATGAATGAAATAGATTCGTTGCCTGTCTTAGCAATTGTAGAATCAGAAATTGTACAAGTACCAGCACATCTAAAGATAGTATTTCCAGTAGCAACAGTGTTATTTTCTTCAACTGCTTGAGAACCAATTGTTATAGTTGATGAGTTAGCAAGTTTATATTGAATTCTTTGTGATTTTAAAATAACATTATTTGTTTTAAAAACATCATTAACATAAATAGCAAAGGTAAGATCATAGGCTCTTGTAATAAGAGTTCCAATTTGACCAGTTACATTAACAATCTCTCTAGATGGAGTAGAGCTAAAGTCCATTTCACAATCATCTCCTTCACATGGGCACAAAGTATCACAATATCTTTCATGATAAACTGAACCATCTTGATAATTAGTATTATCACTAATATGTTCATCAAAAGTACATTTATTAGCCAAGGCAAGGGCAATGAAGAAAATGAGGAGCATCACTTACTTTTTAAGTTTTTTCGATTTTCTAGTTTAATTATTCTAGTTTTAATTAGTTTTTTTATTATAAATTATAGTTCTTTATCATTTAAACTAAAACCTTCCAAATATTCAAAAGAAGTTCATTGTTCTTTTCGATTAAAATCTTTCTCTTTTCCATTGTTGGAAGAAAATTCCAGAATTCTATTCTAAGAACATTCAGGATTTCTTCTTTTTATTTTTGCTATTTTACTATTATTTTCTAATTTTCCCGATGTATTATAATAAGTAATAGTAATACTTAAAAGATCTATTCAAAATTAGTGAAATTGAGATATTCTATTTATTCTATTTATTCATTAAGAACACTCCATTTTATTCTTTTTTAAAAAAGATTGTTTTTATCCTATTAAATAGTAAAATCTTTTATTAGTATAGTTTAATTGCTCAATCATTCAATTATTAATTTCTTTTTCCATTATAAGTTATATAATTTATTCATCTCTATATATTTCTGATGCTTCACTTTCAAAGCTCACTGAGCCATATGAATCGCTTGTATTAAAATATTCACTAGTTTCATTAGAAGAAATTAAGTTTTCAGTAAATAGTTTGTCGGTAATACAATCCATATAAATAATTGGTTTATTTGTTTTCATAAAAATGTTTTGTTTCAGGATTGAATGAAATGGGTTGTCTATTTCTACCCAGTCACAATCGTACATTGAAAATTCATTAAGATCTATATTTTGAGTATTCATAAAAGAAACAGATGATTTTTCTATTTTAATTTCTTTAATACATTGAGGAAGAGTGATAAACAAGTTACCAGAGTTTACAATATGAATAGTTACTATTAGAATAGATGAAAGATCAATAATATTATTATATTTTAGTGAGTTAAATTTAAGTGATGTTAAGGAAGTTGGTAATTCAATACATGTAAAACAACCATCAAGTTTTAAATTAATTAATTGAGTGTATTGACTTAATTTACAAGGGAATTCTTGTGATGATCTAATAACTAATTTTTTAATAAATGAAGAACAACAAATAGAACGGGTAGATTCAAATTTTAATTTAGTTAAACTAGATGGAAATAGAACAAGAGAGGTATTAATAAATTCATTAGTAGTTAGTTCTTTAAGATTAGTGAGTTTAGAGAAATTAGTATAATCACCAATACTATGAATTTTTGTAAGTGTAGTTAAAGTATTAATGTCATAATTTATTTTTGAGAAGAAACTACACAAATATTGTAACTTTGGTTGATTAGAAAATGTAACATTTGAATTATTTAATGAAAGCCAAGTAACAGAATTTGGTATTTTTCCAATATAATGAGAATGGTTCATTATTAATTTTGATACATTAACTTGAGGTACAGAAATATCACTAACATAATAAATTGGATTAGGGTAAATTATTGATAACCAATTAATATCATTTCTAATACTTTTAAAATGATTATAACTTGAAAAATCAATACAAACATGTTTATTATTAAAAATATTACAATGAGATTTAATAACAATATTTGAAGGTAAATAATTATTAATAAAATTACTAATATCAGTTATTTTCTCTGGAAATACTATTTCATAATTACCAAAATAATTTACATAAATTTTTGGATCCATTCCAACAATATATTGATAATTACAAAAAATTATTTCATTTGTATGTTTAGGAAGAATTAATTTATTCAATATATTTGAATCTATTTGAGTACAATAAACAATAATTTTATCTATTTTACATTTTGAAATAATATTTATTATTTTATTATTTACTGTTTTATAATAATGAATACTAATAAATTTTAATGTTTTAATATTATTTAATGTATTAATAATTTCTTCATTAATATCATTACAAATAATATTTAGTTTTTTAAGTTTTATAAATTTATTTAAATTAAATAATTGAAAATTGTTATTAATTGTTAATTCTATAACTTTATTTTCAATTTCACTTAATAATGATGGAATTGTAATTGATGTAATAATAATTTGTTTAAATTTATCTTGAATATATTTTTTAAACATTATTAATAAATTTTCATCAATTCTAACTGTCTCTATTTGAGGAAATAACTTTAATTCTTTTTGAAATTCAATATTTCTAATTAATTTTTCTGCTTTAAAAATACTAGAAATATCTTGAGAAATCTTTAAAGGATTAACTTTTATCATCAACAGAACATCATAACACTTTTTGTTAATAAATCCAAACCTTTCATTCACTTTAAAATTTTGATTAAATCGAATAACGATTGCAAGAAAACATTTTTCTAATTTCATTTTAAAATTATTTGGATTTTCAGTTTTCTTATTAATTTTATATTATTTTTGAAATATTTTTTTTTTAGTATTCATTTTTAATGAAAAGATCATTGAATTATTTATTTTTAACTTCTTTTAAACTGTTATGAACCAACAAAAAACATTAACACTCTATCTCTTCATTTTTAATAAAGCTCAACCCATTAAACTCAACACAATAAATAAAATAACAAAAAGTTATTTTTATTGTTTTTTAGTATAATGAAGTAAAATAAATAAAAACATATCAATTTTATTTTATTATTACATAATTAAATAATAAAAATAATGACTTGAATTAAGTTATATCTCATTAACTGTATATATGTTTTTAGGATATGACACATAATGATCATAATATAAAACTTAATTTCTGAATAAGAATTAAATATTAAGAGTTTAATTTATTTTTTTAAGACTTACTTAAATCAGAAATATATCAATTATTAGGAATCTACACAATGTATTATTTTAAAGTAATAAAGAATTGAATTACTTTAATAAGAATAATTTTTATTAAGGGTGTCAGTATTTAATCAATATAAATATTATCATTAATAAGATTATTTATTAAAACAGAATAAAATATAAACAAATAAGTTTAATATATTTATTTGTAAAAAGTTAAACAAGTCTAACATTATTCACATACTAATACCTTATTAGATATAAGTTCAAATGAGTATGTCTTTGTTTGTAAGAAATGTTCACTAATAAAATGAATCACTTCTTTTTCAATAAAAGAGTTAGTAATTAATATATTAAAATATACCTTACCATTAATAGATAAATGAAGTTTTAATAAATTGAAGAAATCTGATGATATGTAATGAAGAGGAGGAGATATTACTTCAGAGGTTATATCGTTAGATATATCTAAACAGATATGTTCATATTGTTCTTTATTTGATTGAAGAAAATGAATTGCATCATCAACAATAAATTGACCATTATACCCATGACTTTCAGCAATCATTTTCATAACAGGATCTATGTCTACACTAATTATATTAAAGACCCTATCTTTTGTATTTAATGTGGAAATTGCTAGTGTGAGTATTCCAGTACCACTTCCAAGCAATAATACATTTCCTCCAACTCTTTCATGTGAAAGAAGTTCAATAATTTTTGCATTGTATTCATAACTACGAATGCTTGTAGGAACATCAACTTGGTTGTCCTTTAACCAAATGATTGACTCTTCTGTAAAATGACTTCCATTAAAAATGATACTTCTTTTCTTTATAGCCTCTTGGAAATAAACATCAACAATGCTAATATCACCATTAAATTTTGAAGGATAAGTTAATGTTGTTCTAATTTTTTTATCATCCCAAAGACAATAAGAGTGAATTTGAAAACAATTCATTATATAACATATATCAGAAATTGAAAATTTATTGTCAAGCCGAACGTCTTTATGAATTAAAAATAAATTTCTATGTTGTTGTTTGAGTTGGTTTTTATTGATTAAAGGCATTACCGCTGTATGAATCAAACAGACTTTGGGTATTTTTGTAATTGTATTATAACAAGGATAAATAATAATATAATACTTGACAATCGATTTGTATTTTCCTTCATCAGCTATGATCTCATATTGTTTAATTTTAGTAGGAAAAGGTATAGGAGAAGGGGAAATGAACATAGATTAATGATAATTTGTTTTTTTATTATTTTAAAAGTAATAGTTAATATATAGTAAAATATATTATAATTAATAGAAAATTAAATAACAAAAAATAAATAAAAAGGGTTTAAATATAGAATGATTCATCAAAATATGAACTTAATAAAACAAAACTCTATTTAACTAGTTATGTCAAAAAGTGAAAACTTTAAACCATTCAAATTAAATCAACCACAACACATTAAAAAGCCTTTGTTTCATAGTAATTTTACTAGTAAATTAGTTCTTGGAAAAAAATCAATTACAGGAAAAACACAAAACAATGATTTAAAAAAACCTTTCATTGGACATCCAAGAAGCCTTATATCACATAAACCAAAAGAAGAAATTCATATTGATTCTTTCTCAATTGAAGAACTTCCACAACACAAAAATGAAGATTATGACATTTCAATTGAGTCATATTCACAAAAAGAAGAAGAGCTCAAAAAGTATATGAAAGATGATGATGAAGAAATAACACAATTATTAAGTCAACCAGTATTTAAAAGAACATCAAAACCTTCTAACACTTCTCTCTCTTGTGAAGAAAAAAATAATTTAACACAACCATCAAGCGACGATAGTTGGAAAACAGTTAGTGTTCAAAAATTCTCTAAAGAATGTCCTCAAATTTATCATTTAGAAAATACCAACTCACCAATATCATCAAACAAACAAATAGAAGATAATAAATTAAGTTCAGGAGTTTTATTAAAAAATTCACAAATAACAATTGAACAACAAGATAAACAAAAGACATACGATTTATCAACAGAGTCTCTTAACTCAAAAGTAACAACAGAGTCATTTGGTTCATTGTCATTAAAAGGTATAGAGTCATTATTTACAAATAAAATATTAGAACCCAATATTTTAAATAACGACACTATTTCTTCTAAAGAAAGTCAACATAAAGAAGAACAAAATAATTCAATGATTATTGAAGAAAATATAAAAGATGAACATAATGAACTTGAATTAGAAGATGTAGTAAGACAAATTGATAAATACAAAGAAGAAGAAGAACAAAAAGAAATATCTATTGATGATAAACAAGATAAATGGGAGAGTGTGGAAATTACAACTCATCAAGAACAAAAACAAGATGAATATTCTCTTTCTTCAGCAACGGAATTATCTCAAAGATGTACTATGGAATGGGCTAAAGATGAGTATGAAGAGAATAAACTACAAGAAACAATTCAATCAATTAGAGATCTAAAGAGTGAGTCTCGTATAGACAACTCATCTGATACAAGTAACATTCAAGGAACAGTTTTAAATAAAGAAGATATTTTAAAACAACGAGATGGAGTATTGTTTTATAAGAAATTTAAGTCAATTGAACATAGTTCACAAGTTGATAGTGACTTCAAATTTGGTAAACCTAGTAATAAAGAATGGAAAATAGTTACTTATAACAAGGAACCATTTATTATCAATAAAAATAATTATTCTATTTACCTAGCAACATGTGGTAAATTAGTCTTTTTTGCTATCAAACCATCAACTCCTAATAAATGTCCATTAAAGGTAGAAATAGATGATTGTGTATTTATTCATAATGATCCTCCTATTTATTTTATCAATGAATGCAATATTATTGACTTAATGCCATTAAATTCAGTTCCATTATCATTAAAACTAATGTATAGTCACCATATTAAAGAAGTCCAAATAGTTGCAGAGAAGAAAATACCATGTCTTAATTCAATTGTAAATATTGATTGTGAATTTAATGAAACAATAATATTAAATTGTCAAATTGTACAACAACTCTCATTTAATATTCCAGACACTTTATTTGGAGAAGTAGCTGCAATAGTTAAAGAAGAAGGAAAGGGATATATTTTTATTTTTCCAAAGAATACTTGGAGTTATGTTAATGAATACTGTTCAACAGAATCTAAAAGAATGAAAGGGATTTATATAAGGGATTTATATTTAAATTTATCTACAAGCGCAGTACCAATATATAGATTTCAGTGTTTAATTTAATACATTAATTATATGATAATTATTGACATTCTTCATTCATAAACTTCAAAAAAATTTAAGAAAAAAAAAGAACTTAAAAAGTATAAAAAATAAATGCAAATTGGAATTGATGAAAATGATCCTAATGTTCTTCATTTTAATGTTGAAATTGAAGGTGGAACAACCTATGATTTAAAGTATAGAATTGGTGACAATGTATTTACAGCAGCACAAGACTTTTTGACAAAAAATAATTTACCACAACATCATCTAGATACTGTTGCCCACTTCATTATAGAAAATACACAAGGGATTAAGCCACAAACAACTATTTTACCTTCTTTACAAAGAAAAAGATTCCCTATTAAAAATTATGAAAAATTACAAGAATTACTTAGAGTTGGATGTCGCACTGATAATGAACTTATTGCACTTGCTACAATGGCTCAATTCATTAAAGCTGGAAAAGGATTTTATTTAACAACTGAAATGAAAACATCTATTGCTCTTTTACTTGATTACGCTGTTCAAAATCATGAAATATTACCACCTCTTTTTGATCTTTTTGGAGGGTTATGTCTTAAATGTCTTGACTCTGTTAAATACTTTGAAACTATTTGTGCTTATTCTCAACTTTTTGGTGTTGTCTCTTCAATGATTGATAATAATACAATTACAATGCCTATTAAAATCATGTTTATCAAATTCTTAGCAAACAGTTTCATTACTACTCCACCTGAAGTATATATGAATATGGTTTATTCAACATACGGTAAATTATTACCATTCCTGCTTAATGAAATGACACTTGCTGTAACTAATAATAATTTAAATATGCAAGGAGCTATTGCTGGTGTAGTATTAAATTTATCAATAAGTGCAATTAATTCAAGTATTGCTGGAATGCTTGCAGATGGATTATATGAATTAGCATTACAACTTTATATCATTTCTAATGATGAAACAATTAGAGCAATTCTTTTACTTTCTATTGGTAATTTCATTAAACAAGATGTACTTGCTAGAAATGAATTTATGAAAAAACAAGAAGTAATAACATGTATTAAAGCTTCACAAAATCAAACTATTCAAGCTATATGGAAAGAGATAAATGAATTAATCTATGGAGTAAGTAATTAAATTTTAACTTAATTAAAAAACGGTTTAAATTTCACAGTCAATTATATTATTACTTCTCAAATGTTTGTTGTAATAAAACAACAAGATCTTTAAATGAATTTATTTTATTAGTAGAATAAGATTGAATGAATTGAGAGATTAGTGGTTGGTCATTTCTTCTATCTGAAGCAAGTTGAAGAATAGATTTATGATAATTCAGTCGAAGTTCAAATGATTTTGATCTTGTTTCAAGATCTGATTCAGTGTTATACATATTAAGAGTAATATAATATCTATTATCTACAGCCTCTATTAAATTAAAGTCATAAAGATGTTTAAATTTATCTCTACATAAAGAAGATGTACAAAATGTAATTAATGGCTCAAAGTCATTAATTATTTTAACAGTAAATGGAGTTGGTTTTTTACACATTAATGCCATTACATTTTTTGCATCAATAAAATTACCACTTTTAAATGGATTAGAAAACCTAATATTAAAGTAACGAGTTAAACAATCATTGTGTTGACTTTGAGTTAAAGTTGTTAAGAAAGGAATATCATTACTAATAACTGAAGGAATTTTTAAGAAAAGGTCAGGTCGAATAATAATTTTATAAGATCTTCCTTCTTGAGTTTTTGTAGGATTAATGAAAACAAACTCAATCATCAATAAGAGATGAATCAGTGATAATAATATTTTCATATATTTTTCAGCTTCAGATATTTTAAATTGAATTGGAATTTGTTTTAATGTATCTCTAAAGACTTCCATAGGGAATTTTTTCTTTCCAATAGTATCTAACCAACGAGAAAAGAACGACATAGTCTTTTCTTCTAATTTAGTATTAAAAGAAAATATCATTACAAAATTTTGTTGAGTTACTTTTTCATTTTCAGTATTCACAAAAATTGTTACAGAAGTAAACTCAGTAATAGATATTGAAATACAGGATGTATTAATTGAAGAAAATAATTTTATTAACCCATCAAAATATAAAACAAATGATGAAAGACTATTTTGAATACATCCACAATCTTTTAATAATACAGTTTTTCTATTTGATATTTCATTATCTGGTGAATCAATAAAATCAAATTTTATTAATTCAGTTAAATGTTGATATTTTTTATTTAGACTAACAGTAAACTGAACAGAATCAAATGTTTCTGATTCAAAACAAATATAAAATCCATTAAATGATATTGTATTTTCATTGAAATATTCTACTTTATCAATAACTTTATTTACAAATGATATTAAATGAATAAATTTAATCAGTCTTTTAACATTTCTTTGAACATCTTTTTCTACATCGCATTTTGGAATAGATAATTTCATTTTCTTATCTATTAATTGAAATCCTTCACCACCTTTAAATTTCTTTAAAATATTAATTGAACAATTATTTAATTCAACTATCATAACAAAATTCCTTTCTTCTGGTGGTTGTTCTACAATAACAACAAATGGTAAATTTCTATTTAAAAGAATAAATCCTGTTTTATTTTTTAGAGATGTAACAAGTGTTGATCCTGTTGTAGATATTCCATTAAAAATATCTTTAAAACATTCTAAATAAATTTTTGTTGAATATTTAGTATATGACTCTTGACAAAAAACTGTTATTTTCTCAACACATTTCATTGGATTAATAATATTATTAAATACTTCTTTTGAACATGAACAATAATTGACTAATGTCCCTTTAAATCCAACACAAATTAAATTTTCTTCAGGAGTTTTAGAAATAATAAAACATAGATATCTATTCTCTGATACTTGAATTTTAAATGGTAGTCCAGAACATTCTTTATAATTTTGATCTTGTATATCAATACATTTTGGTTTTAATATTTCTCCTTTTATTTGTTCAAATTTATTAGTATGAACAGCAATTAATTTTAATGTATCTTCGTTTAATATTTCTAAATGCATTTTTTTAAAGAATAACTTTGCTACTGTAAATATTTGTAAATAATGTGCATGTATATAAAGGTCTTCAAATAAATAATTACTTTTATCAATACTTGTCGTTGAAAATAAATCAGAATAATAATCTAATAATCTTTGAGAAATATATGGTGATGTTAAATTTATTTTACCTGTAAATGGAGATACACTAATAGTATTTAATACTGATTCTTTTGTTTGTTCATATTCATATAATTGTTCATTAATCTTTTTCTCACACATTAGAGCACTCTCTTTTGAAACTAAAGATAACTGTTCTTCTAATGAATATTTAAGATTCTATTAAATTAGTATTTATATAATGACTTAAATTAATGAAAAAAAACAAACAAAGAGTGTTGAAGGTAAATTAGGACTATGACTTATTTCAATTGATGTTGTTAAATTATTTAATCGATATTCTAAACAATAAGTATTATTCCAATAAGATATTTGTAAAATACGATCATTATTAATTGTAACAATCTTTGACGTTATGTGAGGATAAAGAAGTCTTAAAGAAGATGACTGACTTTCTCGAAATAATGTATCAAAATATTTATTTTTTGAAATAATTATTAATTGATCAATTAATGTTTGGATTGGATTTAATGAATATTCGGGTTGAGTTATTAAATTACGGTTATGTAAATTAATGGTTTCATCTGATGCAACAGTTTCATTTGGTGTATAAAAATTTAAATGAACAATTTTCCATTTTAATGAATCATTATTAAACAGTGCATCTAAATTTGCTATTGTTAACCAAACATTAAATGAATTTCTCACACATAAATATAACATTCCACCAATAACATTAATACTATTACAAATAATAGTATTATGATTTGTATAATAATATTTCCATATCCTTCTTTCAATAAGTGTACTAATTTTATGAAAATTAGGTAAACAGATTGGAATTGATGGAAGAGGGTATGTAGCTTCAAGAAGAACTTGAAGCGCAATAGAAATTTCAGGAATTCTTTTTCTCATTAACACGTCTTGTTTTGCATTACAAACCATTTTTTTTACAGTAGTATGTAATTGGATAATTGACTGTTGACATATCCAATTAAAATTATCAATATCATGAAGAACAGGATTCCGTCCTAACCACCGTGTTAAAACAAGTAATTTCCCAAGTGTATGAATTCCACATTCTAATGCCTGAATTATTTCATCTCGTTCTCCAGAATTAATTCCTTTAGAAATATTATGTGTTAAAGAAGCAATGGTATTTTTAATGATTGTAATGAGTGATCCTGTTTGTACAGTAATTTCCATTGACTGAATATTTAAGTTGTTCTTCTTTTTTATCTTTTTAAATTAAAAAACATTTTTATTTATATTTTGTTATATATATCATTATTTTTTATTTTAGATTAATTTGTTTTTATTATTATTTTTTTTTTGGGTTATGTAAAAAAAAAAGAAGAATATTTCGAATAAAATTCACTTTATAATTCAATTTTAAACAATATTGATTTGTTTATTGGTATTTGAGTAATAATACTAATGCTACTATTTGAAAATAAATAACTTTGTTCAAACACATTTGTAACGTCTCTATTAATGATAAGTATTTTTCTATTTTATATTACATAACACAAAATCATTAAGTTTTAAAAATGAAAAAATTATTACTTATGGACTTGGAACTCTAAAAAATAAATAAAACCCAATGTCTTCAGCACAATTAGATAAATCATTAATGCCTATTATTTGCCAATATATTACAGACCCTATAGATTTATTAAACATCATTCAAGTCTCAAAAAAATTTAGAGAAACTCTAGACAGTTATACATCTAATCCTATTCCACTCACTGTTAAGAATAGAAAATTGTTTACCAATATAACTACTCAAAACATTCATTCTCAATTCGAGATGAGGTTTTTTGATGGGAATATTAAGAAATTTTATATACTGTATCCAGTAACTTATAATGCTTATTTAAATGAAAAAGAAAATGGAAATGAATGTAAAATAGTTACTTATACTACAAAAGATAGAAGACGTTATGGAAATGAAATTCCATCAATGATATCTGTTATTGAACAAAAAGCATTTGATGGATGTGAAATGATAACTTCTATCAACATTCCATCCTCAGTAAAAATTATTGATAATGAAGCTTTTAATCATTGCCCTTATCTTACATCAATTGTTTTACCATCTTCAGTAAAACGTTTAGGTTACATGGCTTTTGGTGGAAGTTCATCATTGACACGTATTGAGATTCCAGAGAGTGTTACAAAAATTGATACTTCATGTTTTGGAGGATGTGGAGCAACTGCAATAGAATTGCCACACTCACTATCATATTTAGGGAAAACTGCATTTATTGATTGTACTAATTTACAGTCAATTACTTTACCTTCAACAATTACGTCTCTTGAAGGAACATTTAATGGATGTTCAAGTTTAAAAGAAATTAACCTTCCTTCTAAGTTAGTTAAAATTCAAAGTCAAGTATTTGAAGGATGTTCTTCATTAGAATCAATTCATGTTCCGTCAACAGTGACATGGATTGGTTATAATGCTTTTAAAGGTTGTGGATTAACGTCAATAGAATTACCACCTAATGAAGATGGTATTGGTTGTTATTGTTTTGCTAATTGTTCTAAGTTAGTATCAGTCTCAATTCCATCAACACTGTCTTGTGTTAGTAGTATGTGTTTTGCAAATTGCATTTCTTTAACCTCCATCCATTTGCAAGACCCGTCTATTAAATTAAAGAAAAGTTGTTTCTTTAATTGTTTATTACTAAAAGAAACATGTCAAACAATACCACTTTATTGTTTTGATGATACTGAACACATTGGTTGTTAAATAATAATTGAAAAACAATTAATTTTTCTATTGAAATTTGTTTTTTTTTTTAAAAACCCTTTTATGTTTTTAAAATTTGTTTTTAAGAATTAGAACTTTTTTTTTTGTTATAAAAGAAGAAAAAAGAAGGAAAATCAAAGAACTCAAAAATATAAGAAAGGAGTATTTTCTAATATGAGTCAATCCCATATTTTCCTTATTAAATCAATACAAGAAATATGCCAATGTGTTCAAAAGAAACAAAGTAAATTGTTGGAATTATGTGGAATATTAAAACATCAAATTAAATCAAATAGTTATGGTGATGAGTTAATGAGCGGTAAACAAGATTTAATTTCACCAATTCTTGAAATTATAGAAGAATCCTTTAATGCTAAAAATTTACAAATGTGTTGTAAAGCCATTGATTTAATTGATAAATTATTATTATATCAAGCTATTAAACATGTAGAAATTACATATAAAAATCAATCAGTTGATATATTAGTTGTATTAATTAATATGCTTTCATCAATGTTTAAATATAATGGAAATATAACTAATTTATATGTAGCTAAATGTTTAACAACTATTGTTGATAAATTCTCTTCAACACTAAACACTCCATTTATTATTGAAATATTTAAAATTATTTATGATATGTACATTATTACTCCATCTCTCGATACAAATAATGGAGCTTATCAAATGTGTATTGGTAGACTTGTTGATATTATTCTTTCTAAAATGGGTCAAAAAAGTAAGGTTAATGGAGAATTATTAAAAGGAAATATTCAACAAGGAATTTCTTTATTTACTTGTTTATGTCAATACGCAACAACAAATTGGAGTGAACGTACATTAAATATAAATGCATATAATCAATTTATTCAATCAATTACACATGAAGCAAAATCACAATTAAATCAGAAATCAAGACAATCAATATTTATGCTTCTTCAATCTTATTTAGAAAAATATCCAGAAAGCCTTATTTCATTTGAATTTATTACAAGTAAATTTGTTGCTGATCTTACTGATGTTATTCTTTCAAATGCAACTGAATATACTAAACAAATTACTTTATCAACAATTAATTTACTTAAAATTAGTATCATTCGATTTAGAAAATTCATGAGAATTAATTTAGGATTAATGTTCACAAAAGTTATTAATCAAATATTAGGTTCTAAAGTCATTGAGCGTCAAAGAATAGTATTAGAATTATTAAAAGAAGTTTTAAAGACAGATGGTTTTTGTATTGAGTTATTTGTTAATTATGATTGTGATGAAAGTAGTCCAAATGTATTTGAAGATATGACAAATGGAGTAGTTTTAGCATTGAAAGTCCCTTCATTAAGTTCACTCGCTCTTGATGTTCTTTATATTATTTATGTTACGTTAGTTAACTCTACAGAAAAATGGGAAGAAAATCTTCATTCATTAATAAAAGAAGAGGATTCAGTCATCCCACTTTCTAGCATTGACATTGTTCAACTCAAAGAAAAGAAAAAAATAATTTCTGATGGATTATCTCTTTTCGAGAAATCACCAAAGAAAGGAGTAGAATTCTTTATTGAAAAAGAATTATGTACTTCATCTGCTGAAAGTATTGTTCATTTTCTTCATCATCTTAATGGATTAAACAGAAAAGCTTTTGGAGAATATCTTGGAGGAGCTGGTGAGTTAAATAAAGAATGTCTAACTGAATTATTAAAGATGATTGATATGAAAGCTATTGAAATCGATGATGCTTTACGATTAATGTTTGATACCTTTGTTATGGGAGGTGAAGGACAAGTTGTTGAACGAGTTATTGGTGCATTTTCAGCACGATATTGCGAATGTAATCCAACTGGATATGGTGGAATAACTCAAGATGAATTATATCAATTAGCAATGTCTATTATTTGTTTAGCAACAGAAACACATAATCCTAGTGCAAAGATTAAAGCATTTGATACTTTCGAAAAGTTCAAAGATGTTGTCACAAGTGAAAAAGGATTTAATATTAAAATGGATGACAAGCCATTAAAAGGTATTTTTGAACGTGTTGTAGCAACACCATTTGCTATTGTACAAAAAGATGACTCTTCCAAGAAGACATTCTTATTACAAGATCAAGGTAAATATCAAACAGAAAAATCTCACGAAGTAGTAAGAGAGATTCATATTTTTATTTATAAAAATTTATGTAAAGAAGTTATGGAATATTGTTTTGTTAATAATGACAATCAAATAATGACAAAAGGAGTTATGATATTACAATCAGCTGTTCATTTAAGTTCAATTTTCTTCCTTGAAGAAGCACTAGAATATCTTATTCAAATAATGAGATCATTAGCATGTATTGACCAACCTCAATTTATTGAAGAACGACATCTCATGGTAATTAGAGGATTATTAAGCATTCCTCATAACGATGGAGAATTTTTATTAGTTGGGTGGACACCATTCTTAAGATGTTTATTTGAAATAGAACGTTTAAGACAAATTGCTTCTGGTTGGGGAGAACAACCAATTAGTGTTGATCAAATTCAAGGACCATTCTCATTCCCTATAGAATATGAATTTGGTAAACGTTCACAACATGAAACTCTTCACCCATCAACAGTCATTACTGAAATTGAAATATCTGAAATAAATGAAGTATTTTATGAAAGTGGTTCTCTTGGACATCGTGCAGCAAAAGCGTTCTTTAGATCATTATGTGAAATTATTTTAGAACAGATAGACCAAAGATCTCCTGGGTTATTTGCGTTTCAAGCTCTTGTTGTTGCTGCTTCTAGCAATAAACAACGAAGTGAAAATCATTGGGCACCATTTTGGGATTCTTTAAATTCATTATTTAAAAAATGTTGTATGCACCCAAATGATATTGTTTCAATGGGAGCAATTGACTGTCTGAGGCAATTAATTACAATGTTTGGTGATATGAAAGAAGAAAGTTGTCAAAATCAAGAAAGAGCACTTGAGCCATTTGTTCGTGTTATAGCAGATCATCCAAAAATACCAGTAAAAGAGTTGGTCATGGAATGTTTAAAAAGATTAATAGGAAATGTTAATTGGGTAAATAATATCAAATCCGGATGGAAGGTATTAATTCAATGTGTACGATTTGCAGCTGAATATGAAGAAACTAAGTTGAATGGATTTGAATTACTGAAATATTTTTATCAATACCATAAAGAAGAATTGATGAAAGAATATGTGTTATTTGTTAATTCATTAATCGCTTATCAAAAAAATGGTACTGGAAATGGTGAAGAGTATAATTCATCTATTATTAAAATAGTTAGTGAAACTCTTGAAGATTCATTTGATATTCCTCTTAGAACTGAACTTATTAAAAGAGTAAATGAAGAAAAAGAACAAGAGACTCATTTAAAACCAATGTATGTTGAAGAATTAACACGTTCTACTGAACAATATTTGTTAAAATATTTACCACTATACACATCTCTTGCTGCTAGTGGTACTGGAAAATATCCAAGTATTGCTGAATATGCTATTACTACAATGAAAAATTTATTACTTAAAATGCCTATTGAATTAAGAGATATTATTTTTTACAGATCATTATATCGTTGTTTAAATACAGACTTACCATCAAACTCACCAAAAGTATTAAATGTATTATATGATTGTTGTTTAGAATTACCACTAAATTTAATTATTCCAGTTCTTTACTTTGCTTTCAACAATATGTTGAATCATGAGAAAGTATGGGACCAAACACTTAATTTCTTAAAGAAGTTTATTTTACATGAAAAATTTGATGAAGTTTATGACCAATATCTTCAGATTCAATCAACTTATTTCGATAGTGTAGTTAATGCTATAAAAGGAATTACTTCTGCTTCTATAACTAAAACACAACGTCCTAAACCAGGTAAGAGATGTGAGTGTTGTAAGTGTCATAAAGATGGTATTACAGCATTTATGTTAAGATGTCCAGGATGTTTACAAATGTATTATTGTGAAGGATGCAACGAAAATGAACATACACTTCAATGTATTAGAAAATGGAAATCATGGAAGATCACTGAACTTGGACTTACTTCTGTGTCATGTAAAGGTTTAAACCAATACATTACTATTATAAAAGGATTAAAAGATGATGCTAAAATGTTGAAACAATATGAACAACAAAGAAAAGCATTATTTACAGCTATAGAACAATTACCATTAGAAATTATTACTGAATATTATGAAAACATTATGACTATTACATTTGATAGTCATATCACAACTGTAGATCAATTGCATGATCTAGACATACAATATCTAATTGAAGAAATCAATAAAATGATTAAGTACTATAATGAGAATGGATTTACCATGTGTAATTCTAAACAACTCATTATCCATTCATTGGAACAAATTATGGTATTGTCTGATAAACATTTCTTAGAAATAATAAAAGGAGTTCAATCAGAATTAGTACAATTAATTGCATCAGATGATAGTGATGTTCGTAAGTGTATTATCAAAATAATACAAAGAATACAAACACTAGTTTTAATTCCCTGAATTGAATCATTAGAATAGCATTTTATTAATTTTTGTTATTTAAAAAGATAAAAACTAAGAAAGATGAACTCATAAAAATGAAATGGCATTACCTCCTTCACGTGCAAATCCTGCTGTAATTCAGTTTGCTACAAAACAGTCCATCCCACAACAACCTAAACAAATCATTGCACCATCATTAATTAAACGTAATCCAACTCAACCAGCATTAAAACCTCTTGTTCAAAATGGAAATACGTCGACAGCAGAAGAGGGACTGATTATGAAAAATAGTTATATTCTTCAACCAAATAGAATTATTGGATCTGATTTCCTTACTCGACCAATTCTTTTACAATTACTAAGAAAAGTTTTATACACAGAAAATCCTGATCAACCACTATTTTTAGGAGAAGGTGTAAGTGAAATTATGTCAAGTACTGCATATGAGAAATTATGGTATGTTATCACACGAATTGGAAAAGCAGCAGAAACAAGAATATCTCCTGGAGAAGGATTAAAAGTTAATTATTTACAAACAAATACAGATGAAATAAGAAAAGAATTGAATGTAAAAGATGAAAAAAAACCAAAAGAGATTCATAGAGATGGTAAACGGATTAGAATATCGATGACTGATGTAATGTTTTGTAAAAAGTTTTTACCAGAAAGAAGTCTTCATAGATATGAAACAAAAAAATATAAATCAGGTAGATGATTGTTTAAATTATAATTTATTTTGGCAATTGAATTTGTTGAGATGTTTTTATTATCATATCAGCAATTTTTAATAATGAAGTTAAATTTTGGGGTGTTGTACAAATATCAATAACTTTACAATCTGCATCAATCCCTACATCAGTATATCCATCATCTGCATCGATTACTTCAACTTCCATTGTTACACCTTCACATTTTACAACCTCATCTTTATCTATATTTACTTTAGTATTACTTAAATTACCAATTATTTCTAATTTATTTAATGTTCCTGGTTTATCAGTAATAGTCACAATACCTAATTGTGCTGTTACTTCTCCAATATCAATTTTTGGAGCTTCAATAACAAAATTTAATCTTATTTTACGAGATACAGTTGCAGTTTGTTCAATAAATTGAACTGTTTTACCTTTTAAAGCAGAAAGAATTTTCACAAGTTGTTCATAATATTGTGCACCTCTAATAATAACTTTGTCATAAAAAACGATATGAATTTGAGATAGACTACCCTTAAACATTGATAACTCATTTCTTTTTTCATAGATGTATTCAAACGTTCCCATTTCTTTTTCATCAGAAATAGAAATAATTACTTTATCATCTGAAACAGCCTTTAATGTACCAATCTTTAAAAATACATTAGTGTCTTCTTTAAATCGTTTCATTTCAATACTACTCTTTAATAATGAAATTAACATAAAATCTCCTTGTTTATCATTTAAATGGAAATTAATTTCATTCATTAAAAATTTAAATATAAATGTTCGTTCTGGTTGTGTTTGAGTAGTTTCAACAACTTCAGCAAAACCACTTTCAGTAATAAGATATTTACTTTCAACAGAAAAGAATTTAACTAATTTTAATAACGTTTCTTGAGTTAGTCGAATATGAGAAGAATGTCCAAATGAAAGTGTTAATGTTTTTTCTTTTTCTGCAGTTTCAAATGCAAAATTCATAAAATTATCAATCTTTTTTTGTCCTTCAACCCAGAAAAGTAATTCATCTTTATTTAAATGATCAATAAAACTACCACTTTTAATTTCTACAGTATGTAATGAACAGCCATGAGGTAAACTTAAATATTTATATTTTAATTCATCAAATTTCATAATTCCAATTTCTTCTTCTCCATTAACAATAACTTCTACACTACCAATATCAGCTGTAAAAATACGATTTCGAATATCTGATAGTTCTTGTTGATTTGGAGATACTACGGGATGATATTTGATTAGGTCTTGATGTTTACTTAATTCTCCTAAATTAATCATGATTAATCCGACAATCTCTCTATATCTTTCTTTAGTTAAATTGATGTATCCAGAGGGGATTGATAATGAAATGTCCCATGCAGGAAAATCAACAGAAACATTCATTTCATCTGGAAAAGTAAAATTAAAAGTAATTTCTTTTGCTGAAACATTTTCATCGAAATAAATATCATATAAAGTAAGACTTTTAGTTGATTGTTGATTTTGAATCCATGTGCTTCTTACTTGTAATTGTTTTGTTATTAATTTGATACCATCTTCAATATATGAAGCAACTGGAATACATAATGAAACATTTGTAATATCTGCATCTAATTTCAGTCGGTCATATGAATGAGATGGTTCATTTGAAGGACATACCCTTACACGACAAATATGAAGAAGGTCTTGAAGCCAACTATATAATTGTTGAATAAAAATATTTAGATACGTACATGTCATTTGATCAGTTTTAATAGATAAGTAGTGTCTATAATCTTGTTGAATTGCTTTTTGAGTAATGGCATGAGTATATAAAATATCAATTGGAGTATCCACTGTTTGAACAACTATTGAATGAATTTTACCTGACATGGTTTCGTCTTTAGCAAAAACTCTTTTTAATGACCCTTTAACAGTTATGTCGATCTCAGGATTATTACCGTCTATTAATATATCAAATGATCCCCCAACAGCACTTCCTGATGCTAACAAACTTCCACGGTTCCTAACTACTAATTCAATTGAAGTAAAAACAAAAGAAACTTGTACTACTTTACTTTGAGTTTTCTTTTGAGGGACATTAACAATAGTTTTTTGTTCATGATCACTATATAAGAAATGAAGAATATGATCAAGATGAGGAAGATCAAAATAAATCATTGATTGAGTAGCAAATAATGTAATTGTAATTGGTTTATCATTTTCATTTGTCATATGAAGACTAACAAGTGATTCATTTGTGTGTTTTTTACTGAAAAATGTCATATTATCATTGTCAACAACAATAACATCACCAAAACTTATATCAGCAATTGATTTTTTATCTTTTACAATAGAGGTCATTGTTAATTGTTTTGCAGAAACATTAAAAATTGGTTCATTCTCTGTTAAAGAAATAAATGCTGTAGCTTCAGGAATTGAAACAGTTAATTTTAATTTAATAAAATCTTCAGGGATTTGTATAATAGTATCATCTCCTATATCAGTTAAATCATCCTCTTGTTGTAATAAATCTCTAATAGCTTCATGCTCTGTTTTTGGTTTTGGTTTTTGATTTTTAAACATTAATCGAATAGCCCTTATTTGTTCAGAAGAGATATGAAGTTTCGTTGTATCAAGTAAACAATCAACAATAACTCCAGGACTTAATTCATTTAATTTTTCTTTCATTTCTTTCCATGATAATAAAGCTTTTTGTATATCAAAAGACATTTGAGTTTTCTCAAGAAGAATTTCTGATTTAGAATCAGTAATCATTTTACAATTAATGTCATTGATTGTTAATTTATAAGAATCATATATTCCGTTTCTTTCATTTGTTAACATTTTAACAACTCCTAAATCAATATGAAGTTCGTTATTATCAGAATGAATAATAATATAAGGTGTATGAATCATTGCTGATATAACAACACGAATGTGTTCATCTAATATACTTTTTAAATTCATAGAAGGTAATTTAACACCAATTTGACCATATGACTCAACAACATCTAATGATCTAACTACATTCATTAATTCTTCAGCCATATTTTTATTATAAACAATGTTCGTAGGTTCTAAATGAACATCTAATGAAAAATCACTATCAACTTTTTCTTCTTCTTTTTCACTTGTTAATTTAATATGCAATAAATTTTTTTCATTGTTTATAGATGAAAATATATATGGGTATTTATTATCTTTATTACTCTTAACTTTAGCATCATTAAGATCAATATTAGCAGTAAATCCAATAGTTTTCTTAAAAACAGAACAATTTAATGCACTAATTTCTATTTCTACAAATGCCTCATTTAGATCACTACCAAATAAATCAATAACAAATTGTTTCGCTTCAAATGAAAAATCAACTTGTTTTAATTTTTTTGTATCTGTTACCTTTTCTTCTTTATTATCATCTCCTAGAAATGAATGAATATCTTCAGTTAATTGTGAATTTATAACATTAGAATATCCCATCCAACTCCATATTCCACTACTATTTCTTTTTGCTTCATCAACTTCTGATTTTGCAAAGTTTCTTAAATAAATTATCTCTTTTACACTAAGCTCTTCTTCTAATTCATTAAATCGTTCTTTATCTCCATTATCTGTAGTTTCACTAAGTACTCTAGTATATATATCTGTATATTCCTGGCGTAGTGCTCTTCTTTTTCTTTTATATTCATTACTTTCTTTATAATTTTTTTTCTTAACTTCAATTAATAAACTATCGAATGCAAATTTCCACCATCTTTTTGGTACTTGTTCAACTCCTTCTTCTGGCCTTTTGACATCTCTTCCAGCTTGAAAACATTTTCCTTCAAATAATTTTTGTTGTTGCATTAAACTTTTCACATCAATCATTACTCCTTGTGACACTCCAACCTTTAACATTTCTAAAATAATTTGACTAGTAATAGGATATGAATCATCTTTGTCTGATAACGTCAACCTCATTTTTGTTGTAAGGTCTTCTACGATATACTCTTTTTTGACGTTTGTATCCCATTTATCTTCTTTTGTTTGTGAATGATAAATTCTCATTTTAATAATCTCAGCAATCTTAAAATGATCTCCTTGATTTTCTACTACAAAAGCAGGACTCCACTGACTATCAGTAGAATATAATTTAATTGAATCAATAACTGAACCGATAGCATATTTTGTATTAATCCACCCATTAATTCCTTCATATCTAATATGAATATTTGTAATATCAATTTGCATATTATTGATGACTTTTGTTATTATTCGTTGTGTTAATGTTGTTTTATCAGAAGTAATTTCATAATTTCTTAATTGCCTTTGTTTAGATTCTTGCTCTTCAATTTTTAATTGCTTAGAAATAATAGAAGGATCTACATTATAGTCAGTGGTACAAACTAACTCAATATCATTAATCTTAACTACAACAGGTTGTGAATCTAATTTATTCCATGGAAAACTTAAAGACATTTTACCAATTCTTCCAGACACAGCTTTTAATGGAACTCCAACTAAAAGCCCATCAAATGCATTTTCATTAATTATAAGATTTTCTAACGTAACATCACCATTCCAAAGTGAAACACGAAGATTCTCTGCATTAAGCCCACTTATATATTTACCAAAATATCGAGTAAGTACTTCAGATACGATATTCTCAAACATTTAATAATGTTTTTGTATTTTTAAGTTCTTTATAATGTTTGAAAAAAAAAAACAAAAAAATAATTCAAAAGGAAAGTTGCTCAAAATATATAATCAATAAAAAAGAAAGAACCCTTTCAATCTTGTAATCATTCATTCATTTCTGTTTCTATGAATCTCTTAAAATATCTTGATACCTTTCTTACTACTTACCATAACTATTTTCCTATTGCCCGTTCTATTACTCGTACTTTATTATTAATTTTACCAAAATCTACAAGAATCCCTGAACGTTTAATTTCAACTATTCTTGAATTACTTGAAATTCATCATGTTATCATTTCTTCTCCACCTACTTTCCCTTTACGTTCATTGGCATTAACGAGTGCAATGACTGTAATTTCTCCTTATGTAGAATCATTGTTTACTAGTACTCAAATGAAATATTCATTTTTACTTCCTATTCAGTCCTTACGAGTATACTACTCTATTCAATATTTTCTTAAAAGTGGATTTTCTCTTATTCCTTCAACAAATACAATGAAATTACCATTAACAAGTAAACAACCAACTTCTGCTCTTTTAACACTACAAAGTAGAATTTTTAGAATAGTCTCTGAATTAATACATTCATTTAAACCTCTCTTTGTTTTAATAAGTTTCAGTATATTTGGGGATAACAGTTATGTCCCACTTTTTATTTCATTTATTTTATCTTGTGTAGAGTTTATTTGTTTATACAAAAATTCTTCAACATTTTCTTTATCAGAATTATCAATTTATCGTCAACGATTAACACGTGTATGGGTCTTTTTTATATTTCCTGTGTTAATTAGTGCTTATCGTTGTAACCCAACAATATGCTACTTATTAAGAACAAAAATACCAGGGGTACATTATATACTAGGTTTGTGATTTTTAGTAAATTGGAAAGAAAAGAATTAATGAAATAGATATCATCAGTCAGAGTATTATTGATTCAAATATCTCGACCTTGTTGTAATTAAAACTTTTTGTATTGTTAAAACTATATTTTAATAATAAAAATATTATAAATTATAGAAAGTAAAAAATAAAAACTTAAAAAAAAAAAAGATTTAAAAGAATGACAAAAGAAGAAATTAAATACATTCTTGGGATTGAAGGAAGTGCTAATAAACTTGGAGTAGGAATTGTTACCTCAAATGGAGAAGTACTAAGCAATTTAAGAGACAGTTATTACGCACCTTCAGGACAAGGATTTCTTCCAAGACAATTAGCAGAACATCATCGAAATAATATTTTAAAACTAGTTAAAGAGGCATTAGAAAAAGCAAAATTAACACCACAACAAATTTCATTAATTGCTTATACTAAAGGACCAGGGATTGCTGCCCCTTTAATGGTATGTGCTGTTGTAGCACGAACACTTTCAATTATATGGAATATTCCTTTAATAGGAGTTAATCATTGTGTTGCTCATATAGAAATGGGTATGTTAGCAACAGGAGCTAAACATCCAGTTTGTTTATATGTTTCAGGAAGTAATACACAAGTTATTGCATTTTCATTAGGTAAATATAGAATATTTGGAGAAACAATAGATATTGCTGTTGGGAATTGTTTAGATAGATTTGCAAGAGAAGTTATGTTACCAAATGAACCAGCCCCTGGTTATAATATTGAGCAAATGGCAAAAAAAGGAAAAAAATATATAAAATTACCTTACGTTGTAAAAGGAATGGACATTTCATTAACAGGACTATTAACTTCAATTGAAACATATATCAATAAACATGAAAGTGTTGAGGATCTTTGTTACTCTCTTCAAGAAACATTATTTGCTATGTTAGTTGAAGTAACTGAAAGGGCAATGAGCCAATGTAGTGCTAGTGAAGTTCTTGTTGTAGGAGGAGTTGGATGTAATGTTAGATTACAAAATATGCTTAAAACAATGGCAAAAGAAAGAGGAGCAACATTAGGAGCAATGGACGAAAGATATTGTATTGATAATGGAGCGATGATTGCATGGACAGGGTATCTAATGTCTAAAAGTGGACAATTTACGTCTATAGAAGATGCAACAGTACATCAAAGATTTAGAACAGATGAAGTTGATGTTACATGGAGATAATTTAAAATAAAATTCTTAAATAATTTATTTAAAGTGATATTTAAAATAAAAAGAGAAAATAATAAAAAAACCACCAAAAATTAAGATTATTTATTATCAACACCAAGACCCGAAACAACACTTGATCTAAGGACAGCTTCATTATCTTTAAGGTATTGGCAAATTTCATGAGCTCCTTTAACAACAACCTCTTTTGGTGGAACAACAAGAGGATTATTAGTTAATTCAATAGTTTGTAAAATACCATCAAGTTGACCCATTTCAACAGGTAAAACAGGAATCATATTTTGAGTTAATTCAAGTCTATTTAATTGTCTTAAATCACCAATTGAAGGAGGGAGTGATTTCAATTGATTATTTCTAGCATCAAGATAAGTAACAGAAATTAATCTACCAAGAGATTCTGGTAATCTATTAAGTCTATTACCAGCAATTGTAAGATTTTGAACGTTAGTAAGATTAGAAAATGTTTCTGGGAGTTCAACCATTAAATTATTAGAAACATCAAGATCAACAATAGATGTTAAATCACAAAGACATTGTGGATAACTATGAATTTGGTTATTACTAATAGATAATTTAGTAATATTAGTTAATGTTGAAATACCTTCTGGGAATGATGACTCATTAAGAGAATTATGAGCTAATTCAAGAATATTTAAATTAGTCAAAGAAGTAATATTTGGAGGTAATACAGTGATATTACATCCAACGAAATCAAGTCTTTGTAATGAAGCAATATTGAAAATTTCTTCAGGCATTCCTTTCATTTTTATATTATCACGTACATTTAATTCACATAACATTTTCAATGAAGAAAGACCAGGAATACTTGTAATTGGAAGATTCTTAACAACAAGACGGGTAAGGTTTTGAAGAGAATCTAATGGTGGAAGTTCAAGAATACCTTGATTATTTTGACAATCTAATTCTACTAAGAACTTAAAGTTAGTTAAAACATCAATATTTCCAGATAATTTATTAAATCCAATTCTGAGAATTTTAAGAGCAATCATATTAGATAATTCTTCTGGTAAAAGATCCATTTGATTATTAGAAAGATCAAGTTCATATAATGAACGAAGATTTCCAATTTCAGTTGGTAATTTTCTAATAGAATTCTTATTAACAAGAAGAGTTTGAAGTTTATCTAACATACCAATTTCTGGAGGGAGTGATTTTAAATTATTTTCAGAGATATTAAGATATTGAAGAGAGAGTAATGAACCAATTTCTGGTGGGATAGATTCTAATTTATTCATTGAAATATCAAGTCTTTGTAGATTAGAGCACATCTTAATTTCAGATGAAATACCATCATAAAATAAATTATTTTGTCCAAGATATAATTCTCTTAAATTAGAAGCTTTTTGAATAGAATCAGGAATAGAAGTAATACGATTATTAGATAATGTTAGTACTTCTAAGTTTGGCATTATACAAACATCTTCTGGAATTGATGTAAAATCATTTTGAGAGGCATTAAAATTAGTACAAACACATTTAGAAATTTGTTTAGGAAATTCTGATAAATTTTTACCAGAAATTTCAATGGATGATTGATTCAATAACTTTTTATCAAATTTAGCTCCTTTTGATCCTTTAGCTCCCATTTCTTATTAATTGTTATTTTTTAGTTTTTTTTGTTCCTCTTTTTTTTTTTATTATAATTTATAACTTTTTTATTATTCTTTTATTTTTATTTTTTCTATTTTTGTTCCTTCTTTTACTTCTTTTTTGTAAGTTTTATTATTGATAAAAAAATGGCATAAAAATTATTAATGAATCCACGTATTTATTGATTGGTTCACAGAAATGTAAAAAAAAAGGATTAAGGTAATAAAAATAACTAATGAATTAACTAATTTTTTTATTTTTTATCTTTCTTTTTAAATAATCTTTTATAGTGTTATTCTTAAGATTAAAAAAACTAAATATTTATTTTCATTTTTAGTTTTCAGATTTTAAATTAAAATGCAACAGATAAGAATTATTCTTGATATTGGTCGACCAGGAGAAGAAAAACCAAGTTTAGATATTAAGGCTACATCAATACAAGATGCAATTGATCAATCAGTTCAACACTTTTGTGTAGAAGGAGTTTTTATCTTAACAGATATGGAAGGGATACCATTAAATCAATTAACATTTCCAAAAATTAAAACAGCCATAATGACAATGTCACCGGCATTTGTTGCACGACAATCTATTTTAAAAATAAAAAAAGCAACGACTGAAAACGAAAAAGAAAAAGCAATAAATGAAATAGTAAAAGAATTACAAAATCAAACATATGCAAGAGAATTTTTTAAAACAACATTATTTCCACCACCATTTAATAAACAAAATATTAAAATTATTAAAACATCAATGAGATATAAAGATTCTATAAAATTAATGTTAAATGATAAATATATTCAAGAGTTATATAACATTATGTGTACACATGAAGATTTAGAAATAAGATTACACGCAGCAGAAATATTAAATGTTTTATGTATTTCAGGAGGAGAAATATTTATTGTTTATGCAGCAAAAGTATTTGCAGAAAAAAGAGATGAGTATAAATACAGATCATTATTACCAATGATTGGAAATACACAAATTGGAGCAACAGTAGTTGCACTATTATTGGGAATTTTAAAATGTTCACCTGAAGGAAGAAAAAGTAAAATTGTTATGGATTTTAAATATGTTGGAATAACTGAAGCAGTAAAAAAATTAAAATCATATAAATTATTAGTAGCAAATTTTGAAAAAGCTTTAAAAGATGATTGTCAAATAATAAATTATGATCAAAGAAGTAAAAGAGAATGGAAAAGAGTTGAAGAAATTCGACAAAATTCTATTCAATTAGAAAATAGAATTAAAGCACTTTGTTTAGATAAAGAACGAGCATTAAAAAGTAAAGAAGAGTTATCAATGATATTAGAACAAAAAAAACAAGAAATAATAAAATGTAATGAAGATATAAAATTTTTAAAAGAACATACAGAAGTTAGAAATAATATTTCTATTACAATAAGAAAATTAACTAGAATAGAACTTATTGAAGAAATAGCAAAAACTAATAGAGATATTGAATTATTTACAAAAGAAAAAGAATGTTTATTAAATGAAATTGAAGGTATTCCAAAAGAAAAGAAAAAAGTTAATGTAAATAATTTCTTAGAACAAAATGATAAAGAAAAAAGAAAACCAATTCCTCGAGGAAATTTTATAAGTAAAAGAGTTCCAACACAAAATTTTTCACATTCAAAAATTAATTGTCTTTGTGAAAATACATTTAATCAACCTAAAATTGAATTATCTGTTTATTTACCTGAATTAAAATGGAATAGAATTATTTTAAAACCTGATCATCCAAAATGTTTATGGGATCTTCTTCCTGAAAAAAAGTTAAATATTTCTGATGTAGAAAATTCATTTAAAATAGAAGAACAGTGCTCAACAAATCCAGTTATTTCAAGATATAAATATATTGATTTATGTGTTTTAAGAAATAAATTTCCTTCAAGTGTTTCATTAGGAATTGATATTAATAATTTTTATTATCGTCAAATAACTGAACGTGATGGCAAATTTTTAATTGATACTCTTAAAGGTATTCATCTTAATGAATTAGATTATTCTGATGGTGGTAAAGGAATTGAGGGTTGGTTAAAACCTTTATTAGAAATACCTGCTTTTCAAATTAAATTAAAAATGTGGGTTGAATCAATGTTAATAGAAAATGAAATTAATAGAATTACTCCTTTAATTCAAAATTGTTTTAAAGCTATTGAAGTTGTAAAAAGTTCAAGAAGTTTTAAAGAATTAATGAATATTATTTTGGTGACAGGAAACTATTTAAATGCTGATTATCCTTCAATTAGATGTGCAGATGGATTTCAAATAGATCTTTTAATTAAATTAAGAGAAACACGTCTTCCCCAAAAACAAGTTAGTATGCTAGATTTTGTTATTAAAATTCATTCTAATCCAGAACAACTTATCGAAGAATTGTCTATTTCTTCATTTGCTAAAATTGATTTAAATGAATTAATTAAAGACATTAAAGAACTTATTTTAAAATGTTCCTCTTTAAAACAAATTATTCAAACCCAAATCATTTCTCTTCCTTCTAAACAACAAAGTCATATTACTGAAGAAGTTAATACATTAATGGCTCGTGTTATTTATTTAAGAGATTTTATTATTAAAACAGCTAAAAAATTCTATCAAATGATGTATTGGATTATAGGTATTCCTGCTGTTGCTGTTGAATATAATCCAATCACATTTTTTGGTATTCTTGAACAATTCACTCAACAACTTAAAGAATCTCTTGAAGATAAAACTGAATTAAAACCATCTGTCACATTAATTAATAGAGCTTTTACAGAAATGACAAGAAGAGAAAAGCAAGTTCATTTTAGTGATCAAGATGATTTACTTGCAAAAGTTATAAATTGTTTAAAGAAAGGAAAAATTAAATCTTCTATTTTACGTAAAATATTAAATTAATTTAATTCTACTAATTTACTTTTTTGTTTGAAATCCCTTCTTACATAGTAACAACTACAATAAGAGCATGAATTACACCTGGAACCCAACAAAGAATAGTTAATATAATATTAATCCAAAAATGAATTCCACATGTCACTTTAAAGAAAACTGCTAATGGTGGAAGGAAGAATGAAAGAATACAAAGTAAAAGACATCCAAGAGTAATATCTCCCATATTTCCTTATTGAATAATTTTTTCCTTTTTCTTGTTTTTATATTAGATCTTCTCTATTTTTAGGATCTTTTCAAAACTCTTTTTTCTTTAGGAATGTTCCTGACATTGAAATTTCTTTTTTTTTAAATTAATGAAAAGACACGTATTTTTAAACAATAATTCTTCAGAAAGAATATTCAACTCAGAACTTTTCTCATGACACTAATTATTTTCATGATGATTTCATTGTCTTTTTCTCTTTGTACAAATGTGAAAAAGGGGTTTTATTGTTTGGATAGATCAAAATTTGTTTGGTGCTCTGGTACTAACCAAAGTAAGGCAATTACTTGTTTTAAAGAAACTGTATGTAAGTGTGGAAAAACAAAATACAATCCATGTATCTTCAGTTTCCAAGAGTTAGATGATTGTGAAGGACTTCCTGGAGATATAATCAATGAACCATCAAAATTTTATGAGAATTATAAATAACACAAAATAATATGAAATACTTAAAAAAAATTAATTCAAAATAAATGTTTTTTCAATAATTAATTTTTACAAAAATACGATAGAGAACTTAAAATTCTACAAAAAGTTTTATCAACAAGTTATGTCAAATTCAGGAGAAACAATTCTTCTTTCTATTAAGCAATGTATGTTGTTTAAAATAATTGGAAAAGATGGTCAAGTAAAGAAAAAGTTTGAAACTTTTTCTAATAAATTCTTTTTATTAAAATAAAACTTATCAGTTAGTGCTGCAGATTGGCAGCAATCAGATTTTTTATGGAGTGGAAGGTGTTTAGTTACTAGATCACCTGAACATTGTATTGTCAAATTTGTTGAAAATAATGATATTGAATTTTGTTCTTGTATTGTTTCAGATAATTCTATTCAAAATGTTAATGATAGTAGTAGATATTTTATATTAAAAGTTAATGAAATAAATGGTGGTAGAAAAGCAACTGTTGGTCTTGGATTTGTTGATAGATCAAATGCATTTGATTTTAGTGCAGTTCTTCAAGACATTGAAAGAAAAATGAATAAAAAAGATTCTACTCAAGTTGATTCAGTTCAAACTGACAATTATATACTAAATGATGGTGAGACAATATCCCTCCCTTTTGATAATTTAACAGCTGTAACTGATACTCCAAATAATTTACGACCTTTTGATGAAACAAAAGTCCCTTCTATAACTTTTAATGCAAGTCAAGCCCAACCAATTGACATTGAAGAAGAAAAAGAAGAAACAATTACTGTATTAAATGAAGTACAACCTCAAACTAATCAACCGCCTTCTATAGACTTCTCTAACTTTGGTCAACCAACACAAGTAACTCAACAAAAATTAGAAATTAATTCAACTACAAATTCTACAAATACTGTTGACTTATTCTCTAATTTTAATCAACAACCAGTTACCCATTCTCAAAAAGATACTATCAATTTTGATTTATTTTCTTCTCCATCAACACAAAATAAATTATCAACTCAGAATGCTTTGGATATTCTTCTTTTTAATTAATTAGTTTATTTTACTATTAAAATATTATTTAGTTTATAAAAAAATGTTTTTTAATTTTTTTTTTGTATTTTTAATTTTTTTTAATAGAACTTAAAAAGTGTAAGCTAAAAAAAACCCGAAATAATAGGATAATTCGAAGGAATTTATTGAAACGTTAATTAGTAAGAAACTAAAAACTTAAAAATAAAGAAGAAAGATGAGTAACTTATTGATAAGTATTTGTTTATGTGGAGATCCTTTTGTAGGAAAAACATGTTTCTTCCAACGTTTTTCAGTTGGAGAGTTTAATGCTAATACAAAGACATCTATTGGAAGTGATGTAACATGTAAAAAACTTCAACTTGATGGTAAAACATACAACGTTCAATTATGGGATACTGCTGGACAAGAAATATTTCGATCAACTACAACAACTTATTTTAGAAATAGACATTGCATTTTATTTACTTATGATATCACTAAAAGGGAAACGCTCGAACATGTCGAGGACTGGATGAAAGAATTCTGCCAAGTACAACCAGATACCTCTAAAACATTAACTATTCTCATTGGTTGTAAAAATGATTTAGAAGAACAACGCCAAATCACTTTTGAAGAAGGTGAACGGTTTGCAAGTACACACCAAATCCCCTTCTTTGAATGTTCAGCTAAAACAAATAATAACATTCAAGAAATTATAGAATTTGTTGTTAGAGAATTACGTGTGAGAAATATGCTTGTTGACATGAATCCTCTTACCAACGAAGAAAATAAAGAATCAGAAAATTCAGTTATTGTTTTAGAAAATAAAAATATTTCTAATGAACCATCTGAACAGGCTACTGGTTGTTGTTAAGTTAATTACATTTGGATTCTAAAAAAGTCAAACAACATTAAAAACCATAACTTGAATCTTCTTTAAACAAGATCAATTATTTTTAATGGCTCATATTCTCCTGTTTCTGTTTTATTAATTTTTTTATTGTTTTATTTAACAAATAGTTGTATTAAAATATTTATACCAAACCATTTCTCAATACAAAATAAAAAAGTTGACCAACTTCTACTCCAACCCCAAGTTGTGTGTCATCACTCATAATTGTTTTATTATCTTTACTTAAAATACCAATAATATCTGGATTACATCCAGCAACCATAGCTAGTCGTTGTTTAACAATTCCAATAGTGTCTGAAGGAACAACAACTATAAAGTATGTTTGTTTTGCTCGTCTTAATTTAATATAATATGACTAGACTATGATTAATTTTTATATTAGCTTTTTTGTAAGGAGATATAACAATTAACAAACCATATGTAAATGATTATTAAGATTTAATGCTATTTTTTTATGGAAAACAATCACTAAACTCTCTAATTTATTGTCTTTTCTTCTCACTAAAATCTATATCATTTTTTTAATTATGTTTTTCCTTCTTTAAAAAAAATGATAAAAGATCTTATAATTGTCAAACAGGAAAATGGTAGAGGAAATTCATCATCATACATTTAAAGTAGTAGAACAACCAACAAACCCTGCTATTTCTTCGTTATTTTCCATTTTTGTTATTGGTACTTTTGCAATTTTATTGATTTCTTTAATGAGAACAATTCAATTTAAAAAACTCCATTTTGGATTCTTTACACTCTTATTTATTATTGTATTATCTGCAACATTCGTATTTATCGCGTACTTCTGGTTCTTCTTAACATTACTTGAGGCTGTAGGTCTTTTCCTTTTGATTGCACCAGTAACTTGTCTTTTTGCCTTTTGTGCTGCGAAGGTTTCTCTTTAATTGATCATTCCTTAAAAATTATCGTTATATATATCAAACAATAAGATGAAATATTCAAGACCAAAATCCCCATCTTTCATCTATTGAAAATTATTTAGTAGACAAAGCAAATAACCAGCAAGTATTATTTAGTCATCACCCAGTAATTCTTACATGAAACAAATTTATAAGTCATTCAAAATTAAAACACCCATTTTGGAAATAATGGTTTAGATATTCCACCTTATTTTTAATTGTTTACAAAAATACCATAAGTATATCACTCAAAAAACAATACGTTCAAAATTATGTGTTGTAGAATAAATTTAATTGTATCTATATTACAAATTAACTTATTTAATTTTTAAATTTTTTCTTAATAGTACTATAATTTTTTAACAGATAAAATACAATAAATAACTAGTTGAGTGTTATTAGAATTGCCTTCTGCTGTTTATAGCTCAGGGGAGACTAATTCGGTCCCTAAGTCGTTTTTTATTATCTCTACGGAGTATTTCTGTTATGGTAAAATCAATGTTTCTAATATTCTTCACATTTTCGATTACAAGGTTTTTAACTTTTGTTATCATGTTTATTTCATTTTTTTAATTCTTTTATTATTTTCAGCATTTATTTATCAATTTATAGAGATTAAACTGGAATTATTTTAACATCTCTTATTTTTTCTATTTTTTATTCTATTTTTTTAACTCTCTACACACTTCTTCTCTTCAAATAACTTCAAATGATATTGTGGTCTGTAAATTAGTCATATCAATTAATAGATTAGTGTTATTCTTTTTTTATCTATTGCATTGTTCAACTTTAACAATAGTTAAAAAAATCAATTAGTGGATATAACTACATTCAGATTATCTTCATATGAGAAGTGATTATTTCAATAATTTCAATATACTCTATTTCTATTTTAGAGTTCATTTCTGACATGTGAGAAGAAGGTTCCTTTTCCAATGTGTTGCCAGTGTTGAATGTGTAGAATATTAAGTATTTCATGTTTTTAATAATGATTGTTCGTAGTATTTTGGGGAAGTTGATTTGTAATTTTAGTGTTTTTAATCTTCTTACTGTTTCTTTATGTATTAATTTATTGTTAATATTACAGGTATTATTTCTACTTAAATTATTTCTCTATTTTGTATTAACTTCTCTTATAATTCTTTGTATTTATTAATTTTGTAAATATAATTTAATTCTATGTTTCTATCTTGACATATGGCGACATCGACAATATATCATTTTTATCTTTGATGATTTGATAATATATATCTGGTATTCTAACATTAAATGAATGGTCATTAACCAATAAATCTTTATTGTAAGTTATAACCATTTCATTATTATTAATATACACTTATGATATGTATTAAAATCTATTTTATTAAATTCATTAAAATATGTAATTAATATATGTTTATATAATTGTTTACATACATAATCATGTTTTGATATTTGATTCTTCTTCATTACAGGACATCCTAACAAAATGTGGCTAATAGATGCAATTGTATTAGGACAATGTTTACAATATTTTAAAGCATCACAATTGAGTATTTTAGATTTAATAATTCCTGTTATAGTTACTCATTTTTGCATTTTTACGACTTGGAGGAATATATTTCTTTTTATATTTAATGACATCCATGTGATTACTGATAATTTCTTATTATTAAATATACAATTTACATTTCTTATATATTCACTACATTTCTTTCAATTCATTTAAATATCATTCATTTAATTTATTTGTTACAAATTCAAATACTTTGCTTACATCATGTTTTCTTTCGTTTAACTGTATTATATTCATTAAATCATTGAAATTAATTTTCTTACCAAATACTCTCTTCATTCTTTTAATTATTCATTTTGGATTATCTTTTACTATTTCTATCATTTCTAATATTTTTGTATTTGATATTTATATTTTAAATATATTGTTAATAATTCTTTACCACATTCATCTCGTGCTGACATTAATCACATTCATAATTCATTTATTGTTACATATAATCTACTTTTATTGATGTTTCTACTGTATAATTGGAGTTGTATCAATGAATTTATTATTGGGCAAAATAATTTGAATTAATAAAATAATAGTTTTTATTATTTTGCTCCTAAAAAAAATAAAAAATAAAAATTAAATTAAATATTCATTCTATATTCATTTATATTTGTTTATATTTTATATCATTTTATGATAAATTGTTATGAAATATAAATGATTCATAAATGATATTTGATTTAATGTATGTATACATTTTTATTATTATGTTATTATTATTTTATTTATGTATTATATTTTTATATATTTATATATTTTATTATTATATTTATTTTTATTATTGTATTATATATATCATCATATTATCTATATATTTTATATTTATCATATTTTATTAGTTTGATATTATTATTATTTATATTTTATTTTATATATTAACACACTTCTATTTATATATAATTTATTATATATTAATACATTTCTTTATCTTATTTTCATTTTGATTATATTTTTATATTTTATATCTATTTTCTCTTTATATTTATTATTATTTTATTTATATTATATTAATTTTATTTATTATTTTATTTATATATTTTATTTATTATTATATCATTTCTCTTATTATTTCTTTATTATTTATTATTATTATTCATTTAGTTTTTATATCTTCTATCGATATCATATGAATTTATTATTTATTATTTATTTTATCTTTTCTTATTATTCTTTTATTAATTTATGTTTATTATATTTTATTTTTTTTTTCTTTTTCTATCTATTTTTTATTATTTTTATTTATTATATATATTTCTTTTTGAATTTATTCTTATTCTGTTATTATTTATATTTTTATTTATTTTATTTATTCTCTTGTTTAATAAAAAATATATTCAATTTTATTATTTGTTTATTATTATTAATTATTTTTATTTATATATTGATTTGATTAATATTTGTATTATATCATTATTATATTTATTATTATTTATATTTTGTATTATTATTTATTTATTATTATCATTTTTATTTTTATTTATCATTTTGTATTATATTATTCATTATTTTATGAATTTAATATTTATTATGAAATCATTTATTAATTATTTTATTTTATAATGATATATTATTTAAATTATTTTGTTATATCACATTGATTATTTAATATTTAATGATATAATTTAATGATATAAGATTAATATAATAGATATAAATAAAATGATGAATATTGAAACAATCATTTAAAATCAAAAATAAATAATAAGAAATAAGAATATAATATAAAGAATAAAGAATAAAGAAAAGAAAGATAATAAAAGAAATAAATAATAAATATAAATCAAATGATAATAATAAAAACAAATAATAAA